TCCTGTTATAGAAAGATAACCCTATACATAGGTTATAGAGATGGGATACACCTTTAAACACTTCCATTTGTTTAAATCACTTGTATTTCAAGTTCCTTTCACCCACGTTGGCTTTAACTGCCTAAAGCTTATATTACAAGATTCTAACCTACTCCCTTCTAACCTTTGTATCTCTCCCCACTGATGTTTTCAAGAAAAATGGATGTTGGCCATTATAATACCAATTTTTTTTTTTTTTAAAAAAAGGATGATTGTACTATAATACCCTCTTTATTGCATCCCTTCAAAAAGCAATTTCTAGTATTTTCTGTATTCCAAAATATAAGTTCTTCCAAAAGTGGTAGGGAATACATTTGGAAAATAGGTGACAAATGTTAATCATTGATTTCCATCTGTGTGACGGAGAAAACAAAGCTCGGCAAGATGGGAAACTTGAAAGCTTTCTAGTTTCTTATGTAGTCCAACAGCAATGGAAGGAAGTTCTACCTCAATCCTTAAATAGGCAGTGTGGGAACTCTATTGGAAGTCGAAGCATTTCCTTACCAAGTAGTTTGGGACTACTTCCAATTAGGCAATGATATTCTCATACTTGCCTTTCATAGCTGGCAACTGGCTAGCAATGTCACTTACAGTGTTTAGTTGCTGGATCAACAATGAATGTTGATTTATTGGTTTTATATCCCATTTTAATTCTTGCCAGGATTATAACTACTTATTATATGTCCCTTAAAAGTTTGTCTTCAATGCTAGAGTAAGTTTCTGCTTACTGTTTTTGTTTACCTGTTTCTAACGTATCAATATAAAGAGCAAAAAAATGTAAGAGCTTTCAGGGAAATGTGCTTTCATAATTTCTCTGCAATTTTGGAATTTTAATAAAGCATGGTTCAGAATACTAGGAAAAATATTGGTATGAACATCTGGCCAAATTTTTACCTAATGAAATGTATTTACTTATTTACTTATTAAATTTATATTGCTGCATAATAATAATAATAATAATAATAATAATAATAACAACAACAACAACAACAACAACAACAACAACAACAATAATAATAATAATAATAATAATAATAATAATAATAATAATAATAATTTTATTTCTATACCCCTCTTCTCCCGAAGGACTCAGGGCGGTGTACAGCCTATTTAAAAACACAAGACAAAACAACGATTAAAAATTTAAAATGATTAAATAAATTTGGCTCAATTTAAAACCGCAGAAATTTAAAAAACCCCAATTTAAAATTATTATGTTGATAGCCCGGCCTGGCGGAACATTCGCCCATGACGACTCAAGGCAGCTTACAGAATATAAAAAACCACATTTAAAAAACAGTAAAACTCATAAAAATCAAATTAATGTAATAAAATTAAAGTAAAAAGAAACACCTCCTCATCCCACCTCCCATCCCAGTGACAGCCGATCCCACGAGCCGTTTAATGGGCTCCATCCCTCCATCCCACTCTGGGTTCCCCAGGCCCACTGGCAGAACCAGGACTTCAGCGCCTTCCAGAAGAGAATTAGTGTGGGGGCCATTCTAATCTCTGGGGCAATGATGTTCCAGAGAGAGGGAGCCACCACGGAAAAGGCCCTTCTTTTGGGTCCAGCCAGGTATATCTCCCTCGGGGATGGGACCTGCAGCATTCCCTGCCTCCCCGCTGTAATGGGTCAGATAGATGTGACTGGCAAGAGACGGTCCCTCAGATAACCTGCAGGCCACTGCATTTTGCACCAACTGGAGCTTCCGGATGCTCTTCAAGGGCAGCACCATGTACAGCGCATTGCAATAGTCAAGACGGGAAGTGACTAAGGCATGAATGACTGTGAGCAGGGATTGCTGATCCAGGAAAGGGCGTAACTGGCGCACAACTTGCAGTTGCACGAAGGCCCTCCTGGCTGCAATTGTCACCTGCTCTTCGACCAGAATTCATGAGTCCAGGAGAACCCCCAGATTACACACAAGGTCTGTTTGGGGTAGTGCCACCCCATCCAAGATCAAAGATAGCAATTCTCCCTGAGTCAATGAGCCCCAAATCCATAAATTGTAGGTTTATAATTTCCTGTTCTATCAAAATGGAAATAAGTGATAATTTTGTAAAGGCCAATTCCATAACTTGGGAGGCACATGTAGCTTTGGATCTGTAATTCAAAACTGAAATAGGCATTGAAGACTGTATATGTTCGCATCACATTCTTTCAAAGGGCCTCAGTGTTTCCATTAAGGAGCATGGTGGCTTGCGTGGTTAGGACACTGGATTGACAAGCAGCAAACCAGTGTTCGAGACCCAAATGTTGCCATGGGATGGGGTGAGCTGCTGTCATTCACTCCAGCTCCTGTTTGGAATATAAAAGGAGCCTCCAACTGGACATCACCTGGGCAAGTGATGTCACCAACTAATCCTTTCAACTCAGAAGTGCTTTGGCATTTCCGAAACGAGTGTGATGTGAATGTTTCCATTGGAAAAGCCTCCTTACACTTTGAGACCACTTACAACCTGAAAGTCTAATCGATGAACATGATTTCCACTCTGGCTCATACTTCAAGAGAAAGCATGAGAAGGTAAGAAATGCTCAGCTTAACCTTTGTTTAAATTAGAGTGAATAAAGTTGCATGTTTGCAGGCATGACCATATATTCAGCATTTTGCATATATCCCTCATGTGTTCTCAGTGGTTTAAATAACTTTAAAGGACAAATATAACCTTCCATGGATATAGACAGTCTAATAGCATTTATAGAGTATCTCTGAAGGCAATCTAAGCAGTCTATTTAGAATAATGAGCAATGATTTTTTTCATTGGAAATAGCATCTTTGAATCTTCAACTCCAGGCTGGCAACCATTTTTTAGACTGATTTGAAGGCAGACAATTCCCATGTGTTCCAATGATTATCATCTTGAGAGCTTTTCTCTGAAGCTACCACTCTATGGTGGTCCTTTATATGTCCAGCTTGACAACATATATTCAGATAAGAAAGACCTTTACATTTGGCAGGCCAGTAATGAGTCTATCAATTTCTACCACAACTTAAAAAAAAATGTTATCAGCTCTATTTATTTTTTTTATTATTTTGTAGTACTTTTGTGTTACTTTTACAAACTCTTCATGGAACTTTACTGGATGGTCAGTATAAAACATACCTCACCCAGCCTAATGTAGCCTGCATATAATCATATATTCAACATTTTCAATGTTGTGCAATTTTTGAGGCTTCCCAGAATAAAAGTTCCAGTATGATAATGCTATTACTACCATATTTCGTTCAATGAGAAACTGAACATAATCCTGGTTAATAGAATGGTGTTGTGAGACAAATTGCATTTCACAATGAAGAATTTTTTAAACTTGACTTCCAATGACTTTGCAAAATGCTACACATTTACATAGAAAGGAACCTAGTGGTACATCTACTATCAATAAAAATTAAGCTTGACACACACAGTCAGTAACAGTGTTTCATTACTGCTTAAGTCTCTCTTTTCCAATTAATTATAATATAACTTGACGGATGTAGCCAACTCCGTTATTGATGAACAATCACTTTTCCTGTTGGAACAGAAAGAAGAAAATTATGGTTTATGCTTAATCACAGGGCATTTCAGGACAGAAGATTTAACTAAGCAGTCTTTCTGTCAAATATTTTCTCATGGCTTATATGTGAACATGATACACACAAATGTAATATAAGAATCATCTAAAAATAGCCTGGTGAAAAGACACAAGGAATTTTTCCACAGCAAGCTACTTACAATTTTTGTACGGCATTCCAAATCTTGGATGCATCTTCAAACATTTTGCAAAAGCAATTACATAATATAAAGCTCAATCTGGGCATTAATTTCACTCTAAATAAGAACTTACCTTTAAAATAGGAGTATTATTATTTTTTTGCTTTTCCATGTTAGAATCACTGGACTGACAGTATCAATCTCCTTAATATAAGTCAGAGGAAACCTTGTAATCATCTCATTCGTCTTGCTCAAAATTCAGATTCCATTAAATACCCCATAGAAGTGACTATCTACCTTGTTTGAAAACCTCCAGGAAGAATGGTGGGCCAACGTTTCTTTCCCAGAAATACATAGCCATTAAGTCTATTTTCAACATGCTGACCAAACTGAAGGCCAAAGTTCTTTTCTAACTGGCCTTCTTTCTATACCTACACTGAAAAGGTGTGTCATGTTTCACTAAACTTTAAGTTTCTTATACTTTTGGTGTGACTTAGACTAATTCATTATTATTCGATTACCAGACAGACTAATTCATGAACTACCATCTAAACTAATTCATTGGCTTAAGATAGACAATTTAGTGCTAATTGGTCAGTGAAGCTCTACTCCTAGACAGATGGAAAACAATTCAAACAGGATCTGCTATTAAGTCATATTGTCAGCAATGACCTTAATCTGCCCTAAATTCTTAGTTATTTAGGGCTTATATACAAGTAATCCTCGATTTACAACCACAATTAAGCCCCAAATTTCTGTTGCCGAGACATTTGTTAAGTGAGTTTTGCCCCATTTTACAACCTTTCTTGCCACAGTTGTTAAGTTAGTAACACAATTGTTAAATGAATCTGAATTCATTGACTTTGCTTGTCAGAAGGACCGAAAAGTGGATCATCCGACCTCTGGACACTGCAACCATCATAAGTGTGAAAAACGGTCATAGGTCACTTTTTTTAGTGCTGTTGTAACTTTGGTCACTAAGTGAACTGTTGTAAGTAGAGAACTACCTGAACTTGAATATCAACTATCACTGAGCAGTGTTGTAGAAAGCATAGTGTCTTTAGGTAGACCAATGCTTTCCTACTGTAAAAGAGTGAATTGTGATTAACTATTTAGTGAATGGTATTTTTTTGTGCCTGCAGAACAATTTCTCCAACAGATTATCATCAGCTGTCTCAAATTTAGACAAGACACAGAAAACATCAGGAACTGGTAGGAAGCACTCACATTTTTTCTGCTCTCTAAAGACTTAGTCACATTACACCAAAACAGTTTCAATTATTTATTAAAATACAATAACTGTGCAGCTGTGCTTCTTACATAAGAGACAAAAGGAATGTTAAAGGGAAAAAGTAATATTAAAAATTTTTTTGAGACTTTATCAGGTTTCACAAGTAGAAATAAAGACCACCTACAGTTGTTGTTTTGCAATTCTACCCCAACCCTTTATTTATGAAAATATTATGTCAACGTTATTTTTTTTAAATATATATATATGTGTGTATATACAGGGAGACAATTGGGTAAATTATGTTTACTTAAGAATATATTAGTGTTGTTAACAATTGTGTAATCTTAGAACTTCATTGGAGACCTGAAAAGTAACTTTATTCATTCTACACAACAAACAAATATTCATAGAATGTTGTCCTTCAGATTACCATATTATTTTCAGTAAGTTGTCAACATAATGCATTTCAGATCTATTTTGGATGTTTTGGAACCAGAATTAGGAGCCATACATTTTTTTTAGGATTGAAAAATGCAGATTCTGTCTTAGAAGAAGAACATGAGGTTTGAAAATAATAACCTACAAAAAGCAGCATTCTATTTAGCAGCTTTCCAGCAAAGAGCCATATACTTTACCTTCATGGAAAAGCCAAGCTAGATGCATTGCTAAGTGCATGCTACATCCATGCCACAGATCTCTGCCCATGAACAACATTCCCAGTTTGACTTTTCTGCACATGCAAAATCTCTTTTTAATGACACTTAAACAGTATTTTCATATTCAGTAGTTACAATACATTGCATATCTCTTCAATTCAAATGAACACTACCCGCTAAAGAACATTTTAATAATGTTAATAAGTTACTCTGATGAAATGACAACTAGCAATTATTTTCTGTTGTCCAAACTAATTCCTAACCTCTCATTTCTTTAAATTAGACACATTTTAATTAAAATGAGCAAAATATCATTTATATTGCTTGGCTCTATTTTATTAATACACAACCTTAATTCTATTAATACAATGGATGTTTACTGAACTACAGTGAAACTACAGGAAGTTATTTATTTACAAGCACCTATTATCCGACCTTAATTGGAAGCCATCATCAGTACTTAGAAATTACTATTCAGAATACATTCTGGTTTAATGAACAGTTCAAACAAGCAACAATGGAAAATAATTGCCCCATACAGCTATAGAACATGTGAATTTCATTTCAGCTGCTATCCTGCCATAAAAACAACAAATTAAGTCAGGTTTCCTGACTATTGCGGTTTATTGATCAGATGCAACTTTGGTTCAAATATTTATCTTAATATGTTTTAAAGCACCTGTTTTATGGTGACAAATGTGCATAGTTGTTCCCGTCATTCAGAACTGCAGGATAATACTGAAAAACATTACGTATAATGTTTTAATTCATATATACATTTGTAGAAAATCCAAGCTTCACAAATGTCGAAAAAACTGAGCATTGAGTGGAAGCCCTAAATTAAAACTGTCCAGAAGCTCTGTATCCAAATGACAGTGGAATGCTAGTAATATTCAGGCATGTATTTTTTTTATAAAAAAAGAAGCAAACATGGATTTTCATAATCAAACTATTTCTCAAGTCCAGATAATAAATGAAAAAAAATGAAGTTGAGAAATACTATTAACACTGCAGTAGCAAAGTTTCTTCAAGGGATAAGGCAACAAGTTCTCTCTCTTAAAAACAAATGCCTTATTATTGCTTTTCCTGATATACCGTGTATGAGCCCGTAGAGCTCATTTTGTAATCCAGTTTGGAAGTTATTGCCTTCTATAAGATTACCAAGAATAAGTTGCTTGCAATTTATGTTCTCATCATAACCTCAGAGTTCAAATCACTTGTTTCAGCAGTATGGCTTGTAAAACTTTATGATAGCAAAGCATTTTCCATCCAAAATCAATCAAGACTAGAATGAGATAATGTATTTATTAGGTTATTTCATCAATTTACAGAGCTTAAGCCAGATGTCTATGGAGATTCTCAATCATCCAGGTCATGGTTGCCCCAAAGGCTCTTTTCCAAAAGGCAACTGGACTTTCTTGGTTTTTCCTTGAAAACATTTGCTCCTCATTCAAGAAACTTCTTCAGTTCTTCAGAAGTCAGCTGCCTTTTGGAAAAGCACCACAGGGATAGCTTAAGCCAGAGTCACTTCTGAGTTCCAAGTGCTTTGCAAGGAAAACATGAGTACTAAAATTTAAATGCTCATCAGGAAAAGCTTTTAGAACTTTGGGGGACAAATTTGTGTCATCTATTTCTTTAGTGCACCAATTTAATGAATTTTGAATTCTTATATGTTAAAGAGATTGATACATTTTTATACTCATATTTTGCTGCTTGGATCATACTTTGTGCAGGCTGTTTGCTGTTCAACTAATTTTAATGAGATCCTGGTGACTACTTTGCTATTTTTGTTTACTATGTTACCATACTATTAGTAGAATAAAATATTATATGCCCTTTCCGAACCCCTCCCATTCAATTTTTTTTCTAAAAACCATTCATTTACAGTATTGAATACAATGAAGTAGTTATGCTGACAGAGCTTTTGCAAAGTTCACACAGTAATCCAAATTATTTTATGCAGTTCAAATCTGGCAGATAGGTGCATTTGTCAGTCGTTAGTTTTGAAGTATGTGTAGAACTTGCAATATAGAAACCGTAATACTTGATACAGATTTATGGAAAAACTCAGGAGTTTGTGCAAACATTTACTGAATATGTTGGATGATAGCAATATAGTTGAATTCTAAATATTGTAGTTCCATATGTGCATATGTAAGAAGGCACTTGTCTTTTTATGGCTTGGGTCAGATAAGGCCTTGCCAAAAATGGCACTACTGATACTATGGAAGCAGAACCAAACCCTGAAGCTTTGCATCGCATTGTCCAAGTCTACTAGAAGTTGAGAGAGAGTCTAAAGTACAACAAAACTCAGAATAAATTCCAATAGTTTTTGCCGATTACAATGAGGTAGAAAAGTACTGCTTAGTTCCAAAATGTTCTCTCTCTTCTGTTTTGTCTCCTTAAATACCTGCAAGAAAAGCAGATTGTCCATAATAACTTCTAGGCACATTGCATATTTGTTAACAATCATAATATGCATTGATTCTATATAGGTAACATAGACAAACCATGATTTTGGAAAACTTTGTTCAGTTTTAGTGCCAAAATATCAGTTCTTGTCAAAGTAAATCAGATAAGTGTGATCTGCTCTTGGCCTTGCAAATGAGGGGAAAGATATATGTACCAGGATAATGTTGCGGGATCCAATCTGAGTCTGTCACTGGGACCAAAGGTTTATCCTTCCAAGCTTTTGAGTCATGCTGGAGCCCATCACCGGGGAACTTCTGTCTCTCCAGAATAGGTCATATGAGTATAACATTCTGGAGAGAGAGAAGTTCCCTGATGCTGAGCTCCAGCACAAGCCCAAAAGCTTGGAAGAATAAACCTTTGGTCCCAGTGACAGACTCAGATTGGATCCTGTTCTTCATGATTGAAATAGCAAAAGAAGTTGTAATCTGAGACAATACTGGATAAACAAATCCTTATTTTAACACAGTTATCAATGTATGTTACATTTGGCTATACATTTTATCATTTAAAAAAACATTTTTTTATCCTGTTAATTGCTGAATATTTTCCAAATACATGGCCACTTAATCTAACAAACATATTCAGAGACACAGTAATAATTTGACATAGTCTAATTTAGATGATTTGGGTTAATTTCTTGAATTGCCAGAGTCCAGAGGTTGGAACATGATGCTCAGTAACATATGTCTACATGGCTTCAAAATTAATTTTAAAAAATAAAATGGACAAAGTGTTACAAGATCATCACATTTAATGAGATGTTAAGTTTCCTGCATGAGCTCTCTAGACAGTAGGCGCTCCTATGCAAGATCATGCAAGAGCTCACGAAAATTTCCAATTTCTCATAAAATGCCAAAATTAGGGGTGGTTTATTTTAGGGGAATTCATACTACCTGAAAAGATTGCTACCCTTTGATATTTTGATCATTTTATACCAGGGGTGTCAAACTCACAGCGTAACCTTGTTATCACATGACATATCGCGACTTTTTCCCCTTGACTAACCCGGGGTGGGAGTGGCCAGCATGTGATGCATCCGGCCCACGGGCTGTGAGTTTGACACCCCTGTTTTATACTGTAATCTCAGATTAAAAATGAAGACATTAGAAAACTAAGCAACAAATATTGGACGTGTGTTTTTTTGTTTTTGCATTTTGCATTTTATTCTTGATAAAACTATATAAACTATATATACACACACACACACAAAATAACAAATATGTAAAGTTGATCACATATATTATATTACATGCTAAGGACTAATATTTAGGTTTGCTATAATTATCATGAAGCAATAAGTATCTAGACTTACCCCCATGTCTTTAAACACTTTAATTGCATTTTTTGCAAGACAATAGGTGGCACTCTCAGCTGTGAATATAACAGTAATATTATATTGTTAATTTATAGATTTAAAAAGCCAATCTAAAACAATATAATTAAATCATAAATCCAATACTTCTCTAGAAATAACTATTTGACATACCGTATACTGCAACATTCTTTTCTGTTCTTGATATTAAGTATTTGTGTAATTTTTGAAGACATTCTGTTTCCCTGACAGGTCCACTGAAATTATGGATGAAGATGGCGGCTGAACTATATGCCTCCAGTAATGGCCCTAGCAGCTTCTGCAGGAAGGAGATATATTGCTGGTGTTCCTGTGACTGGCTCATCTAGTAAGACAAGCAGTATAATAAAAACAACAATCACTAAGAGGATATTGCAACAATAATGCTAAATCCACACACTAAAATCCAGACATTATCAGATTGCAGGAGGACAGGACAGGGAATAAATTATGGCTGGTCTTAGGTGGTAAACTATTGTTTAAAATTAGAATTTGCTGTTGGCTTATTGATGTAACTGATTTAGCACAAGATATAAATAGAAAATATAGTTTGCTCTGTGACATCCTTGTTTATTTTTATGTCTTAGTTTTTGCTTGTGCTGTGCTAGCATCTAATCAAGCAATTTTTTTAAAGAAAGGAGAAAATCAATTAAAACTCCAATACTGCTTACTGTGTGTGGGGTTGTTGTTGTTTTTTAATTGTTCACCCAGCTATGGTTAGAATAATTGTAGCATTGCTAAAAGTTGTAATTCAGCAACACATGGCAATCACAATATCTCAAAATCTGCTGAAAAGAAATATGGGCTTATTTCTTAGAAATAATCTCAGTTGTTTTAAACAAGAACCAAAATTATTTGTTCCAGAAATATTCTTTGTTTTCCAATAAAAAAACTCAAAGTCAGTCTGATAGCTATGTTTTCAAATTGAAAACTTCTGAACAGCTGTGAGTGTGAAACCCTTAAGAGTTGCTCCTATAAGTTGAAATAAACACAATAACAGAATGTGATAACTAGTATTATTTATAGTGTGTCATAATTTAAGAGAAAAATTGTATAAAATTATGTATGACACGATGAAAATATAAATTTGTATATTTGTATTTTTTTATTTGTATTTTTCATTTCTTGCACTTTTTTATTCCTTTTTTTCTTTTAATCCATTTTATGTTATGTAAAAATTACACACACACACACACACACACACACACACAGAGGAATTGGTCTTACAAATCTACTTAGTACCTTCAAGAAGCAATCCCGTTGTTCTTCACCAAAGTCACTGTCTTCATCCTCCTCATCACTTCTCCAAGACAATGGCTCTGGAATACTCTTTTCCCACTTTTGCTCTGTAAGGCTAGAACTAATATCTTCCTGTTCTTCCTGCTTAGAATAGAAAAATAGAATTGTAAGAATCATGGTTTTTTTTTTCATTGTGAATACTGCTTTTGATTCTAGGGCAACCACCAAAGTTTTTCTGTAGTCATTTCAGGTGTTAGCATAGGAAGATCCAACTATTCATTTCCAAAGAAATGTGTCTCAAATCAAAGATGCTAGATTAACATTACACAATTAAAGACAAAGATTGTCTTGCATTATTGTCACTATTATGGTTTACACTGAAAATAAAGCTGGTTGCTAAGGACACTTCCCTTAAAATTAAAATCTAAGTGTTACCTATCATTGGAAACATCAAGTTTGCAGAAAGTCCCTGCCACTGAATTTAATAGAAATGGAACCAATTCAACTTTATTACTGTAGAAACATTCTCCTAGTTAGTATATTTCATGTGTTAGGATATAAAAATGCCTGAAGCGTTTTCAGACTTTACAAAATTCCAGAGTTTTAAATAATTTCCTCTACAGCAATTTGCACAAATATAAACATTAGTGTTTGAGTTTCTTAGTTTGTTAGTTTCATCTTCTGAAGCATTCTGCACTGCACTCACAGGAATGATTTAAATTTGAGCCTATATAATTAATACTTGGAATAAGGAACACGGAGTTCATATAAGCTGTTCTTTTAACTTGTTATGGATTTACCCAGGTTAATTGTTTTTTGGCTAAGCTTTTTATCCTTTCCCAAAATTAGTTTAGTTGCTTCCAGTGTGCTGACGTGCTGACTAACTACTACATTTTTATTATTGTACTGTTAGTTGACTTATTAGGTCATAGATTAATCTATCTGTACACAGAAAGAAACATATATGCATGCATACACATACTTAATCTAATATATAATATTTCTTCATTTTGAAAATATAATTAAATACAGCTTGAAAAAAAAAGAAAATGGTACCTATGTGGAAGTTACTGAGATCTCTTTAAGAATAGGTTTTTAAAAAATCAGCAAGATACAAAACAAATTTCAGTTCCAAATTTCATCTAAACTAGGAATATTGGTAGATAATGTTCTGGGCTGAATAAAAGTATGAACCTTAGAAGATGCTGAGAAGGTTCATCAGGCAATCATCAGGATATACGCTGTGAAAACAAAAATAATCTTCCTCCTGTTTCAACGCTTGCTTACTGACCAAGCATTTGTAGAGGAAGAGGTCTTTCAACAGAATCTAACACTGCCACCAAAAATTATGTCATTCATAAAGTTGTCTTGCTAAGTAACTGTAGTTGATGCCACAGGAAGGGAAAGAAAATCTTTAAAGTTTAACTTTTATGTTTAACAAATTCTCCTTCATGCAAAAGTAATTTATGTCTAGTTTTTCTTCTATTAGAATAAGGAGTGTCCTTAAACTAATTTCTAGAAAATTTGACTGCTTTAATCTAAATGATTAATACCGGTAGTAATAATGAAGTTAATTAACTTTTTTCATTATGCATGATGAAGTTAATGAACAAATAAAAATATGCAATGCAACAATTCAACCAATAATCAATGAAAAAGCAAACATCTGATTTCAACTCCTGAGTTTAAAAGAACTGAGTCACAGAAGCATGTTGGAAAAAAAGTGACAGATTTAATAGCTAACTAAATTTTTAATTCATTGCAGATATATGATATTTATGTATCTATTAATAAATATTAATTAATGAGCAGTACATCTACTAAAATAGTAGAATGCTGAACATTCTATCTACTAAAAATTCTTTTTATTTTAGGTGCAGAGAAGGCCTTGACAATTTGAACTGTATTTTTTGTTTTGTTTTTTTGTTTAGACTTCTAGAACATATGGGACATTCAAGATTATTTTATTAAATGGCTTATGTCAATTTAAACTTCTCAGAAAGCACAAATAATTGTGAATGGACAAAACTTTGTAAGATTCAAAAAGGGAAATATAATTGTGCATTGAATATATACACATATATATATATATATGCCGCCTTTCTCCGGAAACTCAGGACGGCTTACAATGCGTTAAGCAATAGCCTTCATACTTTTTGTATATTTATACAAAGTCATCTTATTGCCCCCACAATCTGGGTCCTCATTTCACCTACCTTAGAAAGGATGGAAGGCTGAGTCAACCTTGAGCCTGGTGAGATTCGAACATATAGTAATTGCAGATAGCTCATATTAATCACAATGCTATCAGTCGGCTGAGCCACCAGGCCCCTTTTGAACCCGTATTGCCATGCGCTCAAAAGCCCGATTGGGCTTATTATCAGGGAATGTCTTATTTTGGGGAAAACAGGGTAATTGCTAAAATATACAATCTTTTTTGAAATTTGAAACTGAGGAAGAACGGGTTAAAGAATGTATAATAAAGTGGCCTAAGAAATTAGGTTAGAGATTTGATTATGGATCATTGGGGAAATATGCGGTTAGCATTGTGTTATGATTGCAAAGAGAATTTTTATAAAATAATGTATTATTGCTATATAATGGTAGAAAAAATATCTAGAATGTATAAAGGCACTTCACATGTATGTTAGAAATGTGAATAACATGAAGGGATATTTTATCATGTTTAGTAGACATGTAAAAAAGCTTTAAAAGTTTGGATCTGAATACATACTTTGATACAGAAGAATATTGATTAAAAATCAATATTCAATTGAAACCAGAACTTCTTTTCTTTTTTCTTTTCTTTTTTCTCTTCTCTTCTCTTCTTTCTTTTCTTCTTTTTTCTTTTCTTTTCTTTTCTTATCCCATCCCATCCCATCCCATCTATTTTTTTATATTTATAACCAATCTGAAGAATATCAGAAGCCCTTTATATTTTCTTTTTCATTTTTCTTCAACTTTATTCCCTTGCATTTTTTGGTCTTTTTAGTTCTTCTTTTTATTCCTTTATATTACTTTGTTAGCACTGATTTTATTGATTACAATAAAATTATATATACAAAACTAAATATCAAAACTTATTTTGGTCTAAAGAAGAATTCTCAAAAGAGTTTCTGCAGTGAAATGAGTATAAAGAGTTATCAAATATTTATATAATTATCTAGACACATAAAAAAAATCATCAAAATCTTACCTCTGCTACTAAAAGAACTCCATATTGTATAAACTGTTCAATTGCTTCATGGCACACTTGACATAACAGCTGACAGGGCTGAATAGGAAAACAAATAAGATCAGTCATGACTATTCTCTTTCAATGTGCTATTTCTCTCTATTAGTTGCTGCTTTTGAATACTCTTGCATAAAATGAATAACAATTCCTTATTTTAAAAAAGGTTATTTCAAGAAAAGGAATTGTTAATTTTCTCTGCAGCTACTTCAAGTCAATAGTTGTTATTTGTCTGAAACAGGTAGTAAAGTAAATGTGTAGATCATATCTGCAGATGTATGTGAAAGAGTGCTTGTAAATTTTTCTGTATTTTCTTATTTCAGAGAAAACACAGGTAATACATTTATTTTAATTCCACCATAACTGAAAACTAAAAGCAGGAAAATAAACAATTACAGATCTAGAAACAACCTCCCTTTCTCCCATATTTGAGAATTCCTTTCTCAAAGTTTCATCCAAAAAGCTATTCTAGAAGTTTGAAAAATTATTAGTCATACATATTTCAATATGTGTCATTATATATTATATCAATTAGTGCTGTATATTGTTTTACACAGCTTGTTCCAGTCTGCCTTGTCTTATACTATCAGCTTTAATGCTTGACACTTCTAATTCCAACGTGGCTAAAAATTCTAATGCAGAATGGATTACTTTTTAACTTAGTAGACCATTGGCAGTGGTGGGATTCAGCCAGTTTGCACCACTTTGGGAGAACCGGTTGTTAACTTTCTGAGCAGTTTGGCAAACTGATTGTTGGAAGAAATCATTAGGGCAGAGAACCGGTTATTAAATTACTTGAATCACACCACTGACCATTGTCTAAATTGCCCAGGGTCTGCTGGAAGATCACTCATTAAACACTTCCTCTCTTAGGAATTAATAATCATAGTTTGCTGAACAGGTAAGGCATTACTTTTAAAAAAAAAATAAAATCCATTTGGTGCTTTTCCATATAATACAGGAAGCAATAATACTGGATTCAGAATATAAGAGAATCATTATCAAATCTAAAGATTATTATTTATTATTTTGAGCATTTTATTTTAAAGGATGTACATTTCATATATAATAACTGTATGTAAAAATGAGGAAAAATGCTTTGAAATATTTTCTAACTTCATTTTAAGTGCCATTTAAATGGCATTTAAAATGGTTTAAGCTGTAAAATAAATTGTTCTATATTTATCGCCTTTGTCAACAATGTTCCTTTTTCTGGTTACATTTTGGAGTGTGTGTGTGTGTGTGTGTGTGTGTGTGTGTGTGTGTGTGAGAGAGAGAGAGAGAGAGAGAGAGAGAGAGAGAGAGAGAGAGAGAGACTTGTCTGCCACTTCTGTATGTAAAGGGAAACTGCTACTGCTTGCAGCTATTGTTTCTCTTCCCTTCTTCATTTCCTCTTTTTAAGAACTTCAGTACATCTCCATTTCACCCACAGTACTGTAGCATAATACAAATGATATGGTGGTAGCAACAGAATATGTGTCAAACAAATCTGCAGCCAAACACTTACCAATGAAACAGTTCCTTCATAACACAGCAAATAACAGAGACTGGCAGCTTTTCGGACCAGTTGTTCTTGACTAACCACACTGGGGAGAATCCCACTGATACCATTTCTGTGCCTTTTGTTCAATAAAGCATGAAGACTACACGCTGAAGCAAAAGGGAAGATATATTCAAATTTATTCCTAAATTACTGCATGATCCGTCAAACTCAACCTCTTAAATAGTAACAGCAACATTAGGCAGAAAGTATGCCAGGCATCACAGCAAGGACAGTTTTAGAACATACCGATGACAGCCTCTTTGAAGAAGACATGCAGTATCCCATTGCTATAAAAGCTGAGTTCAAAGACAGCAGGAACAGTTGTGCTGGGAGTGATGAAGAACTCATTATTTCGACTGGTGTTTGTGATGGTTATACAGTTTCCTAACAAATGGATAGCGTGCATGACAACATCTTCAGAATTTCCTGAAAATCCCAAGTCGTAGTCCCGAGCCAAGACCTCCTCCTTCATGGAAAAAAAATCTTCCACAAGCTTAGAAAGATCAATTCCCTAGACAAAGTTTTGAAGTAAATAAGTGACAGCTCTCCAATTATACAAGCCTTTCCAAAAAAAACTCTTGTTTGCCCACATTCTTCTTTCAGAAACCACTGAAGATGTTCCTATTTGCTAAGGCCAAAAGGGCAGGAAATATTCCTTGGTCAGACTGCCTTTAAAATTGCTTATTTGTTTTAATTTTGTTTTCCTAAAACAATCACAGTTTTTAGAATATTTATTTATTGTTTTTAACTGAGTGGCATGGTGGCCTAGAGATGGAGCTCTTGGCTCAACGTCAGGAAGCTGTGAGTTCGACCCCAGGTAGTGGCAGATATTTCTCTCTCTCTGGGCACAGAGAAAATATCTGTTGCAAGCTACTTGTAGGGGTTGGGAAGGGCATCCAGTCTGTAAATGCTCAGCTCCATTCAGTCTCCCCAACTATCCCAATGCAAGGAATTACAGGGTCATTAAACAAAAAAGTATTGTTTTAGCCATTGATTTTTTATGAGAGTTTTATTTAAGATCTCTCACTCCCACCCTATAACTTATTTTGTAAATCATTTGAGAAGAAAGAGTAATATACAGTAGACATTAAACAAACAAACAAACAAACATAGTTTTAGTATAATGGAAAAGCCTTAGTAAACACAAAGAAAGACTCAATAGTATGTATATATTGATTACATTGATATATTGATTACAACTTCGAATCACAGGTTAAGAAATGCTAAGTAGGGTTGGTTAGAGTAATTTCCAAGGAATGAGATTTATAATCCTAGGGAATACTGAAATCATGTTTCTCCCAAAATAAGACATTCCCTGATAATAAGCCCAATCGGGGTTTTGGGCACGTGGCAATAAGGCCAAGTTCTTATTTCAGGGTTCAATAAAATATAAGACAGGGTCTTATTTTCAGGGAAACATGGTATTTAAGAATCCTGTCCTGAAACAACATATTGGGACAACAGGATGTTATATTTTCTTGATTTTGTGTGAGAGATGGTGCCCACAGAGGGACGCTGGTGTGATGAACTACAATGAAACAGCAGTTTTCCCAGGAAAGTGATGGTACATTCTGGGGGGCGGGGGGGAAGGGGGGAATCAGACAAGATGCAGTACAGCTTGAGCTGGATAAAGGATGTCTTTAAATATGTGTACAGTAGATTCCTTTCTTATTTCTATGAATAAGAATAAACAGTAAGCAAAGTCAGTTTACACATAGCTTATGAATGCACCCTATCACTCAACAAAATAAATAAGATAAAGTAGGGGAAACGAAAGCATAGAATATGTTTTAAGTATTGCTGGCACTTTGCAAGTCTATTCAGTGAATGCAGAAGCATAGCATCCTTACCTGTCTGTGTCGATAGAGCAGCAAACAGGCAACAATGTGTGTTGACATCACAGCACATGATTTGTTAGCAGCTATAAGCAAAAGAAATAGAATAAAGCTATACTGGCACTTTGGATTGCAGTTGAAGGGCTCAGAAAGCAACAGTTATACAATTTCAGTCACGGTTGAATTAAGTATTATGGTTATATACAGAAAGATTTTCCATTTTCAATAAGGCAGCACAAAAAACCATCTATTGATCAAAAATAAACATTAAGTTTTAGTACACCAAAAATAATATTTTAATTCATTGTAATATTAAAATACGTGGCATTCTGAAAGAATGAAGAGTGGAAATGAAGAGTGGAGGTAAAAACAGACAGCAAAGTTTGGTTGTCAACTGTTTTAGGATGAAGACTGGAGAATTAAAGAGACGGAAGAGTGACGGAAGAGTGTTATGGAAAGCCCAATTCTAGAGTAAGACATATCTAAGTATATCTAAGTGTGACTGTTGAAGTGTTTTAACAGATATCTGCTTACTCAAGGGATATACAATGGTTGTTTTAGGTTAATAAGGTTATGATAGAATAGGGGAAGGGAGGAGTCAGAGGGAAAAGGGTGCATTATCTCAAACAGACATAGACCTAAAGATAGTATTTCTCCATAATAGCTTCCATGCTGCATCCCAGGAACTACACTTAGATATTTCTTATTTATGTTTTACTACGTGTTAAAAATTGTGCTATTTAACTAGGACACTTGTGATGATTTTAAAGATTTTCTAATAAATTTATAAGCGACCAGCAATTATCACTTGAATAGCAAATGATTTACTGTACTGTAGTTCCGTTGCTGATATGATTGTTTATGTCTGGACTTTGTAAACTGCCTGGAGTTGTTTGAGTTGGACAATGTATCAATTCCTATAAACAAATAACCAGAGTTTTTTAACCCGACAAAGTTGTCATTGCTAGAAGCTTCTTAACAACACTGAAGTACGAGCATTCGATCAAATCAACCACAAGACAGATTTTGGCTTCATTTTGATTTCGTTCTCAAAGATATACAATAGGTCTTGTCACATAAAAAGACACATTTATGAATTGTGGCATAATGGGGTGTGGGGGGCGGATGGAAGCAAGCTGACAATACAGTCTTTGGTTTTCCTCAACCTTTGCCTAACAGTAGTCGGTTTATCCAGCTGGTTATCATGCAAATTATCACTTTAAGAACTGAGGCCTAGTTTTGTTTTTCTCCTTGTTTTTCCTCCTATACCTTTTATGAATAATATCTGACACCTAAGGAGAAGAATTGGATCCTGTCCTATTTTAAAAATCAACTTTAATTAAATTATTTAATCTTCGGTAAAATACTCAAAGACGGGAAGAGCCAAAATATTCTCAGCTAAATGGTTTGGGTTTGGCTCCATGAAAACAACAGAACTAAAGTATTACAATTTTAAGAATATATTAAATAAATAAATAAATAAATAAATAAATAATAAATAAATAAATAAATAAATAAATAAATAAATAAATAAGTAAATAAATAAATAAATTTATTTCTATACCGCCCTTCTCCTGAAGGACTCAGGGCGGTGTACAGCCTATTAAAAAACACAAACACAAACATCAGTTAAAAATAATTAAAATTATTACATAATTTGGCTGAAATTTAAACCCCAAAAATTTAAAACCCAATTTAAAAATCATTAAATGGATAGCCCGGCTTGGCGGAACAGCAGGGTCTTGAGGGCACAGCGAAATACACGGAGGTCGGAGATCTTGCGCATTTCCGGGGGCAGTTCATTCCACAAGGCAGGGGCTCCCACAGAAAAGGCCCTCCCCCTGGGTGTTGCCAGCCGACATAACTTGGAAGATGACACCCTTTCCATATTAAATATGGAAAGTTAGTTAGCCAAAAGATTTAACTATTCAATGTGCTCCTTTTATATCATTCAAATCCTAGATAGTGTAGACTTTGAGTGAGTTGAACTCTGAAATATTAGATTAAATAGTTGAAGAAAAGTAAGATTACGCTATTCACACATTAACCTTTTATAGGTAGCTATGGCTTGCTACCTATATTGGTGCAATCCAGAAGGTATTACACCACTCTAGGAAAGGAAATTTTTAATTTTATATAAAATTCTAAAATACAATAAATACAATGAGTAATGAAGAGACTTATTCAAAATAACATCTCTCTGATTAAAAACTATGCAATTTTAAGACAAAAAAACAAGAAAAGATACAGAAAGAGGAAATTCCTGCTATTTAGTAAGTTGAATGTGAGAGAGAAAATGCAAAATGAACTCCACATTGAATACTTACTGAACATTATGTGTTCTGCCAAGTTAGCTATTAATTGTCTTCTCAGTGGCTCACAAGATAAATCCCTGGAATCAGGAAGGGCAGTTTCTGAACTTTCTCCCACTATGTAGTTAGGTCTGAAGATAAGTAAGAGAATGGATATAGTGTACTTACAAATTATGTTATCATAAGATCCCAAAATATTTAAGTGCTGCAGTTCTCTGTGCTAAAAACTATATTTGCGAGGGAGACACCACTGAACTTGTAGATAAACTGCTCTTTTGTCTTATAAGAACAGATTATGAAAATTACTGTAGGGCAAGTCTATTACTGTCCTTGTTGTGGCCCGTCAGCGGCCTGTGCAGATTGTAGCTGATTCCAACAATGAGGAGGCTGATGTGGTGCTGCGCCAGCAGCCTGTGTAGCTGACTCTCGAATCGGACAGTGAGGAGGCTGGAGAAGATGTGATGCCAGAGGAAAGAATTCACCAGGGCCTTCAGAACCTCCAGAAGCTCCTTTAAGTGAAGAGGACGAAGAGGAGGAGCCTCTTCTCAATGCACGGGCGCGCAGAGCTGCCAAAAGGCAGGAGTGGCTCCTCAGGAGGAAGTCTCCTCGAGAGTAAGGCTTGGGGCTAATTGGCTCCCTTAGCCTATTTAAGGAGCAACGCCACTTGCACCAAGCTGTAGGGAACAAGTTTAGTTCAATCTCCTTCGTGTCTGGATTCTCTGCAAAATTGTTTCTGGGCTTTCTGCCAACTCTAGTAAGACTTTGATTATCTTATCTTAGAATTCTGGTAGACTATTAAAACAGTTTATTAACAGCTTTTGGTTGATAAAGACTAAGTTATTTGAGTAAAATAAGCTTTGTATAGAGTTTGTGTGTGCTGCATTCTTTGGGGTCTGTAGCTGGGGCAGAAGAGTCCTTTGCCAAAACATGAAACCCACTTCCCTGATTAAATTATAGATCTAAGTCTGACAGATTTTTCCTACAACTGCTTGCTTCATGGAATCACACTGTATTAACAAAGAGACTGCCCGAATCCCCATAGTAGCATCCAGGTTGTATTGCAAAATAGTAAATCATGCTTTAAGATTTTCATATCCTAAACAAATAATTAATCTGAAGAAGAATAATGATATATTTTACATCTTTTCTATCATATAACAATTCTTCAAAATCTTTTTTTTTATCATATGCAAAAAAAAAAAAAAAACCAACATAAAACCCCTCAAGTTTTAAGCTAATGAATAATTCCAGAAAAATCAATTACTTGTTTCCCCCAAAAAAATTTCAATAGGCTAGCTCAAACTTAGTCAAATCACAGATAAAACATCAAAAATTCAAAATATATTTACGCTATAATTGCTAAATAAATGTACAGCTAGAATTCTAAGCATTAATTAATTTGACTGCATGTTTTTGAAATGTACTACTTAATTATATGCATAATTAAGTATGATAATATTCAAAAAACTCTGATGGATTTGTTATCTTAGCAGAATTCTAATTTATTCAAATGACATTCAGAGAATGTCTGGGGATATGATTCAGTTTATCATATCCTTAAATATGATAAACTGAAATTTGGAAAAGAACTCCTTCAACATTTATAATTTAATCTGTAGATTTAACAGTATATTTGATTATTGTTTCTATCATTGATAGAAAATCATCAGTTCCATCTTACCTTGAAGGCAGTACAGCTGGTAACAGAGTATGCTCCAAAGAAAGAGGAACAGGCAAAGGTTTTTGATTTTGACAATCTAAATATTCCTGTAAAAACATAACATTTGTAACAACTACCTTACTGATTAGCAAAAGGATTTTCAGAGACCAGCATAGTAGTAAATACTGACAATTAGCCAATAATATAATATACTGAAAACATGTAATTTTGAAGTGCATTAATTACCTCTGGAATCTAAAGCAAGAGGTGTCAAACTCGTGGTGTTATGATGACGTCATGTGATGTATCACAACTTTTTTCCTTTTACTAAACTGGGCATGGGCCTGGCCCGCGCACAGCAAATTTGACAGCTCTGATTTAAAGTAAATAACAGCCAAACTGAAAAGGTAATGATGAATTTCTTAAATATTTCTAGGTGGGATTTCTTGCATCACTGCTTCAAAAGAAAAAGCTCTATTAGCTTTTTCCAACCTTGATATCTCAGTCTTTGATGGTGGTGGTTGAAGTCAGCCAGTTGTTTGCACTGAATTAGGCAATTTCGTTCACTTATTGAGACCTTCCCAAGGATCTGGGAATAGGCAGATATTGTTTGATGATATCGTGAAGGATGTAAAGTGATTCAAATAAAGCTGCCTTTTGCAATTGACTAACGGTAAGTTTGTCAATGCCAAAGGTGTTCATGGCGTTCAAGTGATGCTTCATTTGCTCCAGTTATTTTTAGTACTACTATTGTTTTATTTTTATTAATACCTTGAAGCCACGGCATCTCATATTCAGCACTCCATTTTCTAGCACGAGTTTTCACCTACAAAACTCTTTTGTTGAGCAATACCATTGTGCATGAAGTAAAAACTTTGAAATTTGTTTCTACTGAAATACGAATCGTTTAAAATATCTTTTTCACAGTTTCTCAATGGAATTTTGGTCATAAAATATAAACTTACTTTTAAAGAAAATGGTTGAGCGAAATCTACTCTAACACAGCCATAATTTTTTCGTAACATTCGAAAAACTCCTCGGGCTACACTCCATAGGCTTTCATTCTTCTTGGGCTTTCCCTGAAAGACATTGAAAAGACAAAGAAAGGGGTGAAATTCATATTACATTAATGCATACATCAAATAATGTTTGTTCTGTTCTTATTAAAAAATAAAACTAAATCAAATTCATTGATCTTTCAAATCGTGTGAAGTTGTTACAGAGTTGCTTTCACTAAATGGACTTAAACATTTTTTCCCTGAATGATTTTCTTTTCTGTATGATTTTATTTTGTAACACATTAAGTATAGAGGAAAGTTAACCTGTCTTAAAACTATAGTTTATTAGCAGAACTGCCAATAATAACTAAACTTTATAAATACGTTAAGCATACAATAGCACCTCTTACCAGCTGCTCAGCAGTATAGTGACCTTCAATTATTCTGTCATAGGAGATTCCCACAGGTATGATTAGTACGTCAGGAGCAGCATTTGAATATAGAGCATCGACCACCACTGATAAAAGACCTGCCCTTGCACAGGCTACTTTTCCACTCCTGGACCGTGTCCCCTCCAGAAATATCTCTAAGAATTGCTGTTGTCGAAGCAACTCTTCAACATGCTGAAAAGAGAATGGCAACAAGATTAGACACAAGTTCTTTGCATTGTTTCAAATCAGTAATTTAGGCGGGCAACCACAATGAGCACTGTTCAAATTTGTGTGGGGACAAGATTTATAATCATTTAACAACATGCCCACATCTGTAAAACATAACTCTGCTTTTCTTGGAACAACATGTAGTTGCATAGGATAATTATTACTGAAAGATCACAAGTAACTTTGGTATCTACTAACAATAGTGCCAACAATTAAGAGCATATAGTTGCATAGATATGAGAGATGCAGCTTCAACATTTAATTAAAGTATACAAATTTCTTCAAGGCACATGTATAGTCCATACCACCACTGACACACATACAACATTACAATGATCCATGAAGTCATCACTTGACATAAAAGTACAATACAGGTTTTCCACTTTTCTTGGCAGAAGCCTTTCTATCATAATGAATCTTTTATATTATCTGGGCTTAGCCCTGAAAGGAACTATACTTCATTTACCGTATAAAGTGAAATAAAACTTGATTTAAATTTTGAACTTTGCTACAAATTTAAATATGCATTGTGCGCTGAAATGGTACACAGGTTTTATTAGTAAATTTGCAGAAATAAACTGTTTTTTGGGTTTTTTAAAAATGTACTTACCACATGCAGTAATGTTCTGTACAAAATATCTTTTCGGCCATCAGGTCTCTCATCTAATTTTCTTCTAATAAAAAACCCTCCAAGTTTGTGAATTAAGGTGCTAAAGATAGGAAATAAAATATGCATACCTCTTTAATTAAAAGGGAAAGAATGCAAATTTAACAAAGGTTATATCAGATAAAAAAAATAAAAATGTGTATTATTTTCATAACATTAAAGGAAAAAACTAATAAATATTAGTTGAGCATGTGATTATAAACTCTTTAGATACATTCAAATCAATCGTTCCTAGCATTATACATCAAAAAACATTACGTTTTCACTTTGTTCTTGATATGCTTTTTCTTGTTTTTATTGAGGAAAATGTGGTTATATTATAAAAATATCATGTTAAAACATTTTTAAATACAGAAACATTCATATTTTATAAATATTAATATAATTTTTCATTAATGACATCAAGACATATAAATCATATAAAAAGTTGTTTCATAACTATAATTTTATAAATCAATATTGTTTTCCCCTAGAAATCTGTATCAATGTCTACCCTTACCAATGTTTTTTAAAACCATACATATATACACACATATATACACATATATACACACACACACATATATTTGTATTTTGAACTCTTTTACAGATTTTAAAAAAATCACTATAGTTCTACTTTTGTGTGCTGCAAAATTTCACACACTTAATGCATTTTTTTCATTCTATTTGGCACAATTTGTAAAAATAAACTCTTATTCCTTTCTGACACTGGTATTACATGTGCAGTAACACCTTGTCATGTGAATATGGACAATGTTAAAGTTCTGAATTTTTGGTATGTTAAAATGATATCAGAATTTTAGACAAGGCAATAAACTTTATTACGGTCACAGACCAGCAATATATCAAAACTTCAGAATAAGATCATTACAATTGAAATCTTAGTTCTGTTTATTTACCAAATTAATGTAAAAGTTGTTGACTATGTATAATATGTCACACACTTAATCCAGTCAACACATACTACACATTTAGGTAGCTTCTTTATGTTAGTTTACCTAGGTCAGGTAAGGGAACAAAATGTCTGACATTTACATAGTAAAAGAACTAATACTGTTTTACCTGAAAATAGGAATATTCAGATTATTTCCGGCTGCAATGTAGGGTGTTTTGATATTGTTGCAGAAAAGAATGAAGGTGAGAATTAGGTAGTCAATGTGAGATTTGTGAACTGGTAAGAATACAAGAGGTAAATTTAGCTGCATGAAGAAGAAAAAAAAGAGTTCAATATCAAAACATAATTTGAAAATATCAAACTACTACACTGTCACTATGTTTCTCTTTTTCTCTTGGTAACATTTGCATTGCCAATTGAAGAGGAAGGAGAAGGGAATGAATGAAATAGAAAGGATATATATTTCGCAGGCAATAGATTTTCAGCAACATTTTCAGCAATTAAATATAACTGCTTTATTTGTATGATACTATAGGTAATCTAAGGTGGACTTGAAACATATACTGTAATTTGTATTTAGATTATATAGCAACGTAAGCTTTGAACTTTGAGTATTGAATATCTGTTCAATATTTTTAAAACTGAATCATCTGGAAATTAATGGCAAAAATATATTGAACAAACCATAGATAACTACTTGATAGTAAACTATCATTTAAATAGTCCCCAATTACCGAAATTTCAAGTAAATGTTATTCCAAGCATACATCATTCATCATTGACAATTTACTACAATATATCTTCACCAGTAATGATTCTATTCAGATTCAACCCCAATAATAACTTCAAGAGCCTTCAGAAACCAAAATGATACTGGAAATTGGGGAAAAAAAGATTACAAAATCTAATTTTTGCATTTTTCCTTATAAACATTGCGCTTGCTATTGTGGCCTGGGTGAGGAAGACACAGAATGCACTAACACAATTTACTACACAAAAAAACTTTTGGCATTGTTTGTATTTATTAAACAAGCCATTCAACTGAAGTGATTATTTGCTGGAGTTTAATATCAACACTGTAAAACAGATTCTGTTAGATGAACTTTATTTTTTATAACCTTTTATCAAAGGTGTCTTTTCAGGAAAAAAAAATAAAGGTAATTTTTTCCTGAATAGTTCACAGATTGAAGCTGGAAATAACTAGATATTTAGTATGGTACAAAAATAAAAATGCTACCATTGCATATATTGCTTCTATTATTTTTATTACCTCAGTTGCTGCTTTCACCATCTCTAGTTGGCCTTTATGAATCTGGATATTCCAAAAAAAGCTGTTAAATAATTTCAATAAAACCCAACCTGTTAACCTGAAAGAAAAATATAAGATAAACCACCATATAATCAGTTTTGTACAAACAATAGATACAAATATACTAGTTGCTGTTCACGTTCAAAACAGAAACAATCACATCATTCATGATGGACCAAAAGTGTATTAATTGACTGTGAAAATTTTAAGATACAGTTTAAACAATAGTTGATAGACTACTATCAGCCACAGAAAATATAACAAAGAAATTTTAATTCCACATAATTCTGAACAGAGTGTAATGTTGGGCTGATAAAATGACACTTATTGAGAACATGTTGTCTTGTCCTACTGAAAAAATATTTTTGATACATTAATATATAAAGGAATTCTTCAAGCGTAGAGAATGAGTTTTATTTATTATGCAACGATGACAATAGAAAAACAATATGACGTAAGAAATAACAAATATTTCTGTGGCTATACACAGTATTGAGTATACGCAGACCTCACAAACAAAACTTAGTATCATTACCTAATCAGAGAAGGAGAGACATTTGCTACCATTTCTTGAAGGATCCTTCTAGCTTTCTTCTTGATTCTGTTAATATTTCTAGATTCCAGCTGATCAGGACCATTTACAGCTGATGATTCTGAAGCCTCCTGTATAATAGCATTCTGCACTCTAAATATTACAAATATAAAGTGAATTGAAGATTTATTGTAGCTTTCAACTGCTTCAGATCATTTATCTTCAATTTAAAAATAACCAAAACTCAGATAAAGTTTTGTATAAATCCCCCTTATTCTAAATATTCTAAATAACTATATACTGTAGTACTTTGTTATTGAAATATTCATTTTTTCATTCAAAAATACAAGTAGTCCTCGACTTACAACAGTTCATTTAATGACTGTTCAAAGTTGCAACAGCACCAAAAAAAGTGACTTATGACCTTTTTTCACAGTTACGTTTGCAGCATCTCCATGATCATGTGATCAAAATTCAGATGCTTGGCAATTGTTTCATATTTATGACTATTGCCCATGGTTGCATGATCACCTTTTGCAATCTTCGGACAAGCAAAATCAATGGGGAAGCCAGATTCATTTAACTGGGCTACTAACTTATCAGCTGCAGTGATTCACTTAATAACGGTGGCAAGAAAGGTCATAAAATGGGGCAAAACTCACTTAACAAATATGCCATTTAACAACAGAAATTTTGGGCTCAATTGTGGTCATAAGTTGAAGACTTCATCTATTATATAGCTGACATTTCAAGGTTATAAGGCATATATATTCACATACGCTGATACATGAACCCAGATAATCATACAGTCTTTACAGAACATTTGTAGAGCAGAATTATACAACCCATCTTCCCTTAGAGCCTTAGGTGCAGAAACCAGAAATGATTGTGTGTTATTACACAATTGCAATTTTTAATATTACTTAAGGGAAAATCAAACCATAATTTTGTGACTAAAGAGGAATACTAACTATACTTCATTTTAATTAAATGTATGTGTAAATAAAATGAATTTTAGCCTTTATTCTTGTTCCATTGAATCCTACCCATTTCTATACTTTTTGAAGTATAACCTGCAGAATACACACAAAAATATGGCTGCATCCTCCCAAAGTTGCATGCTACTGAAGATGCCTCTATATAATTGATGTCCCACAACCAGACACAAGGATATAATGAATATTATAATGATATAATGAAAATTCTTTGGAATCAGGATTTCAAGATGTTATAACTTGTACACATACACAGGAAGAAATTCAAAATAATTGCTTTTAAAATCCAGAGTTTCTGCAGTATAAGGAAAAACAATTTTGAGGACTTCCCATAAATTGAACATTTATTATTTATAAATAAGAACTTTTCAAGTTATTTTACAATAAACTCAAACAACAGATAGTGACAGATTTGCCAAATTGGGAAAATTTACAATTATCATTAATAGGGAGAATATCAACGATTAAGATGAATATATTACCTAGAATTCTATATTTCTTCAAGACAATTCCAATTAGGTTGGGGAAAGAACTTTTCAATTATAATAATCACTATTATCTACATCTTACCTGCTATTATTCAGTACATTTTCCATCACATTATTTGCAAACATGCTCTTACAAACATCCCGCTCTTGCACAAAAAGAGTATAACAAAACCGCCGAGCAAGCCAACCTCTGTACCTATAACATTATGGAGGAATTTAAAAAGACCCATTATTAGAAAGTTATCCTTCAAATGGCTGCCAAAATTTCATATCATATTATATAATATCATAATTCCCACTAATAAAATTAGTAGAAGTCACTGAGCTGATTTGGTTCTGGTTTAACAGTATCATGGCAGAAGTGATTAAAAAGAAACCAGAAATATAGTACATGAGGCTTGGCTGAAATATGTTCATCTTAAATCAAAAGAAGATATGAATTCCTTGTTAATACAGGTAGAACATACTAAACGAAGAGTTTTGTTTATTTTAGTTCTTCTCTTTCTCAACTGTGCCATCTTGCCTAGGACAAATCTGCAAGCAAAATGAAATTTAACCAAAGACTTTCACAATGTAAGAAACCAAAATAAATGTAAACAGAGAATAATACTTATTTATTATTTATTTATTACATGTATTTATATGCCGCCATTCTCCCGAAGGACTCAGGGCGGCGAACACAAGTTAAGAAACAAGTACAATAAAATCATAATTTAATCCAAATAATTAATTAGTAGTAAATAATAAAGCCCAGAATCAGTCTCAGCCTATTTGTTTGAAAAGCCAAGTCTTCAAGTCCCAACGGAAGGAGCGGAGATCAGGAGCCATCCGGAGCTCAGTAGGTAATTCATTCCAGAGGGTGGGAGCACCCACAGAGAACGCCCTACCTCTGGGCACAGCAAGGTGACATTGGCTCACCGTCGGAACCCTGAGGAGAGTGCCCTATGTGAGCGAACAGGACGGTGAGAGGCAGGCAGGAGAAGGTCATGCAAATATCCCGGACCTAAGACATGAAGGGCCTTATAGGTGAGAACTAGCACCTTGAAGCGGACCCGGAGAACCACTGGTAACCAGTGCAGCTCACGCAGGAGGGGTGTTATATGGGAGTAACGAGGGGCTCCCATAACAACCTGTGCAGCTGCATTCTGGATCAGCTGGAGTCTCCGGGTCCATCTCAGGGGCAGGCCCATGTAGAGGGAATTGCAGTAATCCAAGCAGGAAGTAACCAGGGCATGAGTGACTGTACGAAGGTCATCTCGATCCAGGAAAGGGCGCAACTGGCGCACCAGGCGAACCTGTGCGAAGGCCCCCCTGGTCACGGCCATTAGATGGTCTTCTAGGGATAGCCGAGCATCCAGGATGACACCCAAGTTGCGAGCCCTATCACGGGTGCAAGTTTTTCCCCATCTATCAAAAGTGATGGAGCCTCTGAAACCCGAGATGCCGGCATCCACAGCCACTCAGTCTTAGAGGAATTGAGTTTGAGTCTGTTTCTGCCCATTCAGGCTTGTACCTCCTCCAGGCAATGGGACATCATGGAAAGGGCATCTCTGGGGTGGTCTGGGGTGGAGATGTATAATTGGGTATCATTAGCATATTGACGATATCTCACCCCAAAGCCGCGAATGATTTCACCCAGTGGCTTCATATAGATGTTAAAGAGCAGGGGGGAGAGAACTGACCCCTGAGGCACCCCACAATTAAGGGGCCTCGGGATGGATCTCTGCCCTCCCGCCCATACAAACTGAAAGCAACCCAAGAGTTAGGAGGAAAACCACCGCAAGACAGTGCCTCCCACCCCAACCCCACAAGTCGCTGCAGTAGGATACCATGGTCAATGGTATCAAAAGCCGCTGAGAGGCAAGTAGGACCAGGATGGAGGAACAACCCCCATCCCGAGCCCGCCAGAGATCATTCACGAGAGCGACCAATGCCGTTTCCGTGCTGTGACCGTGTTGGAAGCCTGATTGGTACGGGTCAAGGTATTCCGTTTTCTCCAGGAATTGTGGGAACTGTTGAGCCACTACAGTCTCAACAACCTTCGCGAGTTTCTTTGCAACTCTAAATTCAAAACTATTTGGTACTGGGGCAGATAATAATAGAAACTGCTTAAGAGGTCTACAGAACCAAATAAAATTGATTCATCCCTTCATCTTGATCTAACATGGTTTGGTTGATTAATTCAAATGCACATGATGTAAATTTAATAAAGCTAGCAAATAATTTTCGATGAGCATTTGAAGGTGGAAGACACCAATGATGTAAACAATGAATTTATAGAGGAAATAGTAATTCTGAGATTAAATGAGAAGAGAATGACAATTTGCACCTTTATTTATCAGGGCAACTTTAACTGGCATATAAAGAATAAAGAAAAACAGTATACAATGCAATAGTATACAGTAGCAGATAAGTCAAGCTATGTCAGGAAAGAACAATACTAGAAAAATAAAGATCTCTTCTTTAGGTACACATGGTTTTCTATATCCATGTTTATGTCTGCTTCTAAGTTAAAAACATTGTTTAAAAGTATTCTACTAAACTGTGAGGTATTAAAGCACCAAAAGAAGTAACGAGAATAAACCAGTTGTTCTTTGGAGTTCCAACATTGCTGTTAGTATTTTAAAATGACAAATGTATTTTGTAATATAATTTAACAGAAATGAAAAGGTCGCATTGTGGCATTAAACTGTTAAAACTGTTGTGCAATCCATCACATGCCTGGTCAGAATTAAGCTGCATGAACAAATTAGATTATAGTCTTTGAAAGTTATAATCAGGAGTCAAAGCAGAATTGGAAGTTCTAGATATGGAATGCAGCATGAATCTTACTTTCTTTGGATAAGAAATAAAGAAGCTTTGATGGAAAGTTATTAAACTAGGTAAGATAAAACATATGAATGATTTGTTCTTTTTTGTCTTAATTTACTATGTGCATACATTTACATAAGACAATTAATGCAAAATAGTATCTTTTCTTTTATGTGCTGCCAAAGGAATACAGGTAGTCCTAGATGTACAGCAGCCACTTAGCAACTATTCAAAATTAAAAAATCTCCCTGGGGGTACTTACGACATGGTTCCGAAGTTCCGACAACCGCACCCCTTTGAGGTCATGTGACCACATATGGGGTACTGGACATCCGGCTAATTCACAACAATGTTACATCTCACTGTCACCTGATCATGTTTTATTACAGTTTTTACTTCTGGTTTTGGCAAAACCAGCCTCTACACTTCAATGACTATCCAATGTTCAATGTTCAATGAGTCTTGCAAAAAAAGGTTGTAAAATTGGTTGGGACATGTAGGTGATCGATTTTATGACCATCATGCTTTACAATCATAATTACAATCAAAAGGCTCCATTATAGTCATAAATTGAGGAGTATCTGTACACTAACCATCCTTTATCAATCTGAAGTTTATAAGTATCTGCTATTTAATATCTGCTTCCAACATGAATTATGTTCAAAAATAAACTTGAAATTAGCTTTACAAATGTGCATCTGACAAGTAAATTCTTGTTTATTCAAATTCATGCCCAATGTAATAGACTTAAAGGTGCCAAAGGACTTTCTATCCCTGACAAACTTGAAATTCTCCTTGAACTTTTGCATTTTTTATATCTAAAAATTAAGGTAGACAGCTGACAACACAAAATTCTGGCTTGTGCCAGAAAATGTTAGATAATATGTACATTTCTTTCGATCCTCATGCATATGTTTTATTAGGTGCAAGCAACTAGAACAACTCATTGAATAGGCCAAGGCAATTCTTTTATTGTCAAATATCTATTTACAAGAATCTCGCAAGATCAAATGTCTTCCCTTGGGAAATGACAGATATAGTCTTAAAGATTTTTCCTCCTCCAAATCAGTATTTCATTAATACTGTAAATTAATACAGAGGCATCAATTCCGTCCTTGGAATGTCTTTTTACTCCCCATCTCCTTTACCACTGATTCCCACAGTTTTACGGGAAAATATTCTGTAGCTTCATTCTGCCCAATGAAACTAGTACCTATTTTCATGAGCACTTATACAAATTGTTGCAACTACCACGTTGCAGAATTAGTTTTCAAAAAAAATAATACATTTTTTAAAAGGTGGCCTCCAAGCTCAGTCAGCTAGCCTCATTTAATTATTAATATTAATACTACTAGTAGCACTAGTTTTCTAAGAACAGAGTTGATGAATAATGAAGCCTTGAATCAAGTCCTTTTATATTTCTACATCATTTAGATATTTACTTCTTCTGTATGCACTGAAAGCCAAAATGTGATTACTCTGCAGGTTCAGTTCAGCAAAACAAACATTAATATTTAACCTTTTTTACTCAATTTTCCGGATAAGTACAACATCCTTTTTAATAAATCACAGTATTAACTATACTGAAAAAAGTATTTACCGTGTATGAGTCTCATTAATATAGATAACATTACGCAGACCCAAAGAAGGGATACTAGTATTAAAAAGCTTGTCCTAAAAGGGAAAGATATACACATACATTAATTTATTACTAATAGCCGTTCACAATAAATATTGAATTTTCCTATATATTACTTCTAAAGGAGAGGAATCTGTCCACCCCCATATAAATAATATATAGCTTGAAGTTTGCCAAAGTTTAGACTTGTCAAAAGTCTCACGTAAAATCTCTGTTATATGCAAAACCTATATATATTTGTTAAATTTATACACCAGCAATTCTGAAAAGTCCACAAAGAAAAATAACAGTAAAACTATAAAGAAAAATCTATGCATCCTAATATTACCTGAACAAATCACTGGGCCCTACTTTACAGTATTTCATTAATACTGTAAATTAATACAGAGGCATCAAATACTATTCTACTTCCACCAGGCAAAAGTAAGCTATACGAGATAAGTACATAGCTACTGACTTAATTTAATTGCCTTCTGACTATTTAATTACGATTACATGAAAATTACATTTAATTTTGTTACTAATATAATTCCATTCACCCAGCTTTGAGGTGTGCATACGTAACAACAGCGTCCCACAAACGGCCTATTCCTGCCCAGAAGAGTCTCTTTCCATTTTAAAGTGGCTGATCGGAAGACAGTAGGCCTAGAATTGCATTCTCCCTGGAAAATAGTGACAGTAAAGAAAATATAAAATATAGCACATAAAAACTGACAGCTCTGAATTTCTTTCAGGTTACTTCCTATATGTGAACTAGCTAAAGTTAAGAACAATTGATTTATTTGTTCTGCTTAAACAAATAACCAAATTCAGTTATTGCAGTAATTAAACACATTCATAGAGTCACATATATACAAATGTTTGCCTAAAGGAATCTAGATCAATATTTTGCCAAAACATTGTCAAAATACTGTCAAAATATTTTCCTCCTTTAAATTATATGAAATCTGTATATTTGATACTGAATCATTTCAAAATGATACCCCCCCTCCAAAAAAAATACTTATGACCCAATTCTGGACTTCTACAAACTGTACCCACCTGCAGTTACATGACTCTATTTTGGCTCTTTGGCAACCAGTTCGCATTTATGGCCATTTGCAGCATATTGTGATTATGTGACTGTAATTTTTGGTGTTTCTTTTTTCTGGTAAAAATACCCATTGGGTAAAATGGATGGTAAAATGGTAAAATAGATTCATTTAATAACCACTTTGGCTTAATGACAACATTCATTTAATTACTGCAGCATTCACTTAATGGCCACTGCAAAAAGGGTTATCTACTTTATTTATTTATTTATTTATTTATTTATTTATTTATTTATTTATTTTATTTAAATTTGTATACCGCCCTTCTCCTAGTGGACTCAGGGCGGTGCACAGCCAAGTAAAAAACATCCAATACAAAATTTAAAAATTTAAAAGAATTATACCCTTTGGCCAAACATTAAGAACCTTACCACTAAAACCCATTGAACAATTTAAAAATCTAATATCTCAAAAAACGGGGGGGGGGGGGGGGGGTGTTTCACGCCAGCCCTGCTTGATGGAAGAAAAAAGTTTTTAGGGCATGACGAAAAGCCCGGAGATCTGATATCCTCCGTATTTCCGGGGGCAAATCGTTCCAGAGGGCAGATGCTGCCACAGAGAAGGCCCTCCCCCTGGGGGTCCCCAGCCGACACTGCCTAGTTGACGGCACCCTGAGGAGTCCCTCTCTGTGGGAGTGTACTGGCCGGTGGGAGGCTATTGGCAGGCAGAAGGCGGTCCCGCAAATACCCAGGTCCGATGCCATGGAGCGCTTTAAAGGTGGTAACCAGTACCTTGAAGCGCACCCGGAAGTCCACCGGGAGCCAATGCAGCTCGCGCAGGAGAGGTGTCACATGGGAGCGCCCTCTCGCTCCCATAATCCCCTGCGCAGCTGCATTCTGCACCAGCTGGAGCCTCCGGGTGCACCTCAAGGGGAGCCTCATGTAGACAGCATTGCAGTAGTCCAGGCAGGAAATGACGAGTGCCTGAGTGACTGTGCGTAAGGAGTCCCAATCCAGAAAGGGGCGCAACTGGCGAACCTGATGAAAAGCCCCCCTGGCGACAGCCGTCATATGCTCTTCTAAAGACAGCTGTGCATCCAGGAGGACACCAAAGTTGCGAGCCCTCTCCGTGGGGGCCAATAACTCGCCCACAATAGCCAGCGATGGCGCCAGCTGGCTATATCAGGACGCCGGAAGCCACAGCCACTCGGTCTTGGAAGGGTTGAGTAGAAGCCTGTTACTCCCCATCCAGATCCGCATGGCCTCCAAGCACCGGGACATCACTTCAAGGGCATCGTTGGGATGGCCTGGGGTGGAGATGTACAGCTGAGTATCGTCAGCGTACTGATGGAATTCCACCGCAAAGCCACGGATGATCTCGCCCAGCGGCTTCACATAAATGTTGAACAGAAGGGGTGAGAGGACGATCCCTGCAGCACCCCACACACAAGGCGCCTCGGGGTCCACCTCTGCCCCCCTGCCAACACTGACTGTGTCCGGTCGGAGAGATAGGAGGAGAACCACTGTAGAACGGTGCCCCCCAGTCCCAGCCCCTCCAACCGGCGCAGCATGATACCATGGTCGATGGTATCAAAAGCCGCTGAGAGATCTAATAGGACCAGGATAGAAGAGCAACCCCTATCCCGAGCCCTCCAGAGATCATCCACCAACGCGACCAATGCCGTTTCCGTGCTGTGCCCAGGCCTGAAGCCGGACTGGCGTGGATCCAGATAGACAGCTTCATCCAGGTACCCAGGCAGCTGTACTTAAGGCCTGCCATGACTTGTGACCATAAATCTGGGCATAATTACAGTAATAAATTGAGGATTACCTGTGCAATTCTGGAACTGCTGTAGGAATAAATCTGAAATAATATAATCCTGTACTGTATATTACAATATGAACTTTTTCTATAGATATATTTTGAATGAAAGTTACAGGTTACAGTACTGTATTATTTTTTTATCAATTGTATCTTGCTCTAAGAACTGTGTACAGAACTATCTAAATGTACTACAGATAGTCTTTACAAAGGCAATTGGGACCAGGATTGCTGCTGCTAAGAAGTACGGTCATAAAACACAATATCATGTGGCTGCATTGCTTAGCAATTGCAGTTCCAGCTGTCCTGATTGCCATTGTTACCTCAAGATATAGGGGTCATTCAGGCGGAAGTGGCAGAAATCCCAGGTAAGAAGCCTAGGGGTGCTCCGGGGCATCCCACAGGAGTGAGGGAAGCCTAGAAGGACTGGCGAGGCTGTAAATTGGGGAAGAACAAGGGATAATTTGTGAGACCTAGCACACGTCATACACAATCACAGGAAGTTGCAGGGCTGGATAGTGAAGTGAAGTGCAAGTGTAGGAAGGCTGCAAGATAGATGATACAAAAGGGTGAAAGCGCAGGGAGCCTTAAGGAATTTACTAGACTACTAGAGAAACTTGTGACCTTTTCTGCTGGTTTCCCCATTGACTTTGCTTAAGTGAAGCCAATTGGGAAAATCAGAAATACCAGTCAAGTGACTGCAGGATGCTGCAACTATCATGTTGCACAGTTGCAGCATTCTGCAGTCTGTTTGCCAAGCACTTGGAATAAAAATCATGTGAGTATTGGTGTGCTGAAGGGGTTAGAACTTTGAGGACCAGTCACAAATACCACTTGTTCAGCACTGCAGCAACTTTGAATAATCACTGAACAAGTGGACAGCAAGCAAAGACTATCTGTACTGAACATTCTTAATTTTTTAAAGCATAATCCTCTGTTACTTTTTCATCTTTCAATAAGTGTTTTATCTTAAGAAACTCAGGAGCACTGAACAAGCATGCATTTTGCTTACCCATTCTTCACTGGAATGTTTACATCTTGTGACAGTGCATTCTGCTGAAGATGACAAATAGGAAACATCTATTGTTCCAAGTGACAAAGCGGTATCATCCATGATCTGCAACATAAATTCAGGCTCATGAGCTAAAAGAAGAAAATAATTTCAGCATTAAAGAATTAAGTGTATTAATAAATAACCTAATTCACTTATCCTAAATGTTTTTCTAAAGCTGAAATCCTTGGCACATCAATAGATTTTATTTCCAAATTAAGAACGTGTATGTCACAACTACAATTGGCAATTAAAAAGATGCATCTATATAACTATATAGTACAGTATATAGTATTATTACTGGATCTCTTTCAGTTGTCCATTCAGGATACTATAACTCATTAAAGAACAGTTTGTCATTATATTTCAAGCTTATTTACAGGTTGCTATAATTACCAGAATTGATTATAATCAGAGGAAATTAAATTTGTGCTTCATTCATACACAGAAAGTAAATGCATACTTAAAATATTATAAGATAAGACTGAGAGGAATTTAAACCAGTTTTTTTCTAATATATACTTCTCTGTTGCATAAGCTTCTAGGCAAATACAGTGAAGTCAATCAGGCTTCCGAAAGCTAGAACACTTTCTCACACTACGTTCTCAAACCAAGCAAGGATAAAATGTCCGGTTAGCCATTCAGTGTGTTTTGCACATCTAAATTATTTCAGCACATTGTGTGAATCTATAATCAGAAGGAATATGGTAGCACCTTTTTTGATTACTAAACTTTTTGAAAGGCAAAAGCTTTCATGAGCAGTTCTCTTTATAAGATGCATTGAGTAGGTAAACTGATGTAAGACTTAAATTGGAATAAACCGTAGGAAGAGTGGGAAAGAAGAGAAGGCAGATTAATTATACAGATGCAGATGACATGTGAGAGACTACAAGTCCTTAAATCAATTAACAACTGCAGTACGTTTAAAAATCATTGTAATGATTGAAATTTTTTGAGATTGTATGGATCTAGGCAAATAAATTAGTTAAACATGGATTAGTACCTATACAAACAGTCAGCAAATCAAGTACAGAAAAACATACAGGTTTCTTTCACCCTGCTAACATAAGCATTTCTATTGTTAAAAACTAAGGAGCCTCTCCTCTACATTATTCATACGTAAAAAATACAAAGACATAAACAAATATATTTGTTCAGACTGGGAAAGCTCAATAACATGTATTTTCCCAAGATACAGTCAGAAGTTTCTTTAGGGACCCAGGAAATTATAGGGAACAGTTTTCAGCAGAGAATGATTTTGTTCCTTGCCGTTCTAATTACACTGAATATACTATTATAGCTGAAAGCAACTGTAAAATACAAAAATACAAACCCAAGGATTTTAAAGCTTCACAAATCAGAGGTATTTTAAAAGATGTGATGAATCCCGGTTGCTTTTCAAAGAGCTTTAAGCATAATTTCCTAAGAAAGCCAATGTGGCTAAGAATGAAGAGACGCAGTCTTGTTATTCCATAGCTCGGGACTGGTGAGAAATAAAGTCCTCTCCTCTTTGTTTAATATAAAAACCTGTAATTCCCAAACTGTGATATTGTCTTTTTTAACAAACTTACAGGGTACTATGAAATACTTAATATTTGGAAGTAAAACATTATGCAAAAACTCAAAAACTTTGAGAATTTTTGATACAGACTACAGAAAACAGTATATCATATTTATTGTAAATAAAAGCATTCTAACAGGTTTTTAGCAGAAGACATAGTCTCTCAGATAATCATGTTGTACAGTATGTAGAGTTTTGAAGACTAATATCATTACCACCTTAAATTTTGCTGAGAAAACAACTGACAACTAATGAAGATATTTCAACAGTCACATTTACATCAATTGGTGCTTCAAGATGTTTTCAAAAGTAGTCCCAAATAGAATAAATTTAAATTGTCAAGAAAGGGTGTGACCAAAGTACGGACAAATGCTGCCAAATCTGACTGGCTAAGGAGATTCATAGCTGTTACTTAAACATGTTCTTTCTTACCTGGGAATACAGCAACAACTGAGAATCAAAGAACCATCCCAGGCTGTATATCTGTACTTTTATGAGAAATTTCATCCAGAATAGGATGAACTCATGGTAATTTCCTACTGAACAACACCATCTTTACTTTCTCTACAGCAAGTATTACCTTGTCACCTTTGGGACAAATCATAACTAACACCTACCAAATCTCTGATGGTGAATTGACCAAGTCTAACTGCCATAGAATGTAAACTTGAGTCTTAAATAAAATCTTATTTGGAACTTGATATAGGAAAAAGAAGAAGAAACAAATATAGAAACGAATGTGTGAAAAGTCTATGGTAAGTACTTCAGTACTTACACTGGAAGCCCTAAACATTTTTGTGTATGTAATTGCCAGATTTTGTAACTGAATGCTTCAATTATTTGGGGCATCCAAGTATTCTGGCAATGAAATATTATCATGCATGTGAAGTTCTACCAATTTAAGCATATTCAATCCCATGCTCTTTAGATATCATGGATTAAAATTTCCAAACCATTCAGCCAGCATATTCATTGCTTATCTGATAACATACATTCATACCTCAACACTCTAAGTACTGAAAGATAAACTAGAACAAAGAGTCCATAGAAGCAATAGGCTAGTCTTATAAGATTGGATCTTTGGATAAACTTACCTGGGAGTAAATGTCACTGAATTAATTAGATTTACTTCCAATTATATGAACATGAGACTGGGCTGCAAATTGCTAAAACTTCAATTTTTACAAAATACTGGAAGCAAAAAAGGCATCTCCTTCAGAATTTGCTTGATAATTTATATGCAATAGCATGAACAAGCAGTGCTAGGAAAGTATAGTCACTTTAAACTTTCTTCTATAAATAACAGATCAAGTACTGTATTAAACACCAGTATCAAATGTTGGGCGTCCCTATACAGCAGAAGGCTACTGCCAAAGAAATTCTGCTCAAACTAATCACCAAGGGAACATTAGCAATCTAAGCCAAATTGGCTGAATGACAGAAAGGACTTTCACACAGTTAGTTAAGTACACCAATGGAATGCAAGTGAAAGACTGAAAGAAAAAGGGGAAAATAAGCAGCCTATGTAAAAAAGGAAAATGGGTATTTATTCAGGACCTACTTTGAATTTAATCCAGACTCATCAGCCAGATTGCCATAGTTGAGAGAATGATAAAATATTTCCATATACTAGCTTGCTTCACACAAAACAACAGATACAAATAACTGCACAATCCCTTTCCACCATGTAGGAACTTTCCTCCATGCAATGACTTCTAATTGTCCATGGGCTCAGGGATAAATCTGAAAAATACTTTTTGTAGTTCCATGTTGTTTCTCTACATTCTCTTCACAACATTTTGCAAAAGAAAGGAGGGGGGTGAGGCACAGAGGTTGTCAATCAGATTATTCTGCATTTATTTCATGCTGTGTTCATTTCACTTGCTAGCTCATTCAAGCATGGGCCTAGAGCCAAGTTCGGTATGCTATGTGCTCCTTTTTTCAAAAACTAAATACTTTAGTTTTAGGAAAATACTTTAGGAAAGTAATTGGTGCGCACACAGTTTTGTCTCACATTAATCTTTCGGTTTATTTATGTATAGGCCAGCCAAGAGTGCAGCAGTAAAAATACTGCTAGTTACGGACGATGACCCTCTGCAACATCTTTTTTTTTTTTAACCTCAAAATAATTTCCCAGGAAACCATTTCATAGGCAAACATTTCATAGTTTTTCTACAGTAGACCCGCCATCAACACAGTGGTCCCAATTCCCCACTCCCCCCCATTACCTTCTTTTTTTTCCAGCGACGATACCAGCGAAGGATCACCCTCGGGAAAGGCTTTTAAGTTCTGCTTCCGAACTATCCAGCAGAAATCTCTCCAAAAACTCCCGATGCGCCTGATCCTCTGTCCCTTGACCTTCCGATCTGCGACCCTTTGGGGGGAGGAAATAGGCGGACGCGGCGCGGGCAAACGCACACCCTACATCAACGCGCCTCCGATTCGACCTGCAGCCCAGCAAGACCTTGCCGGCAGGCTAGCGGGCAGGCTGACTCTTTCACGCCGCCCCAACAAGGAGGGCAGATGCTGACGCGATTTCCTGAGCGCCAGGCGCCGGCGAGCTGGGAAGAGGCCGGGCTGCGCTCTCGTCAGCAGCCGCTGGAGCACCTCAGCACGCTGCGAAAAGGTGCTCCGTGGCCACTGAGCTGATGTCTTCCAGGTGTTTTGGGTTGCCATCAGCCCTGCCCTGGCCGGTGAAATAAGGCGGGTTGGGCAGATTGGGAGATGAGCCCTACTTCAGGGGAAACTCGGGGATCATCCGATTATTCTAGGTGTAAAAGGAATTGGAGACCTTGCTTTATTCCAGGACAAAGGCAGTTTCCGAATATTCTGCAAAGTTGTCTTAGAAGAGCACCATAGTGAGTGCTGAAGCAAAAAAAAAAAAAAAAAAAGTGTGTACGTGTATGCACATTTTTTAGGATGGTTTTATTTTTTTTACTGTGCCTAATGTGTCTAATGTCCTTAATGATAATACTAACATAGCTGTGCCAAATGATAATATTAAGGTAGCTGTCATTTGGCAGCTCTTGGCTTGAAGAAAGAAAGTCAGATAATCCAATCTTTCTCTGTCCTGCAACAAAATCTGAAAGGCTCAGGTTGAAAAAGGTCATCAAACCAGGATGCTCTGGACAATCCCAGGCACCTCCAATAACAACTAATATCAACCAAAGTGTGGGAAAAGAGAGAGACAAGCAAAAGAAGACAAAGGCTGCTTTGATCTCTCTTTACCTGGACTCATCCTACTACTTATACTGTTAACTTCTCTCATTTGTGTACCCAAGTTGTTTAGGAAAGGACAAAAACTTTGCCCTATTATTTGCTTGGGTGGAAGTTTGGTGCTCTTTTGCTGAGAATGCAATAAATGCACAAAAGTGATCATGATTCATTATATTAATTTTCATTTTCAGCTGTTATTGAATACACCACTAAGCCACGAACTGCTTATCAACAGTTATAGTTGGGCACCATATCATGCTAAGCTATAAGCAGACAAATCACATTTCGCTTTTCACCTTCGTTTGTAAATTCTATCAAATAGCTCTTGTTGCTGGATTCGGAGATACTAGTTCTGGATTATTTTAACTTCCCCTACTTGAGAATCAGCCTCATAATCACCATTTCAATTTTTGGTTCCCTTCAGATCATGTTGGACTTGGCATTTATGTAAGAGCAGTTTATATATAATCTGATATTAGGGAATATTTCCATGTGTTCCTTGTCATGGGCTGATCAGCTCCTCATTGTGATGGTGTTGACCATCATCCAGACTTCATAAGAATGATAGGCCCATTCAGAGGTCCATCCTAGGCACCTAGTATGTCATGATACTTGAGGAATTTCTGAAAAGCCAGGCAGCATTTTTGTTGAAAATCAAGTTGGCCTGAAATATAAGCAAGCCAGGCATTACAGACTCCATACCCACCCGGTCCAAGTTTAAGTGTGGATAAATTCATTATTTCACCCAATTACACATTTTACTGTTTCCTCTTGTAATCTTATAAAGCAGAGATTTGTCTTCTTTCATTTCTAGTTTCAGTGAATCCTGGTGATGTTACATAAATAACAAAGACAGAAATTTGAGTTCTTCCAAAATTGTTGGCCATTAATAAGAGGCAGAATAATAGGCTTTAGAAAAAGATATAGACATATTAGAGTATGATTCAAATTACATATTAGAGAGTAAATGAATCATTATGCAAAAACAAATAAACTTCATTGGGCTCATCTAAATTAGGAATCAACGAAGTTCCACAAATACTACTTTCTCAAAGGCAGCTCCTTAGAGACTGACAGACTTTCTGCTCCACCGGATTTTAAAGTTCATAGTTTATATTCATATTTATTGTTCTTATGAAAAAAAAATGATATTCTGCTAATTTTGAGGACTCTAAATGATTGCTTTCTTTATGTTTTCCAGGACTGTGGTTTTGTTATGTTGAATTCCTTTTGGTAGCTTAAAAAAAATCTTGGGAGAATGTATTTACTTTGAAGTGGTTTGCTAGAAATGCTGTACTTCAAAACCAAATGAAATCAACGAAAGCATTGGACAAGTGATTCCTTATTGTATATAGAAAGCTCTTAATTTTGTATTCTAAGATTGTTTCTTGTGTGCAATGTTGCTATGGTATCAAACAAATGAGTACGGTTTTAAGAGTATTCCTAAAGGGAAGTCTGCTTCAACTGTATAATTTCTTTTTTAAGAAATTCAGCTGCATTGTCCTTTGATGCTATTTAGCACAAGCTATAATCTGTTTGTATTGGAATTAATAGCAAGGTTTCCATTACTTGCACAGTAAGCAATAGAAGCAATTCTTATATGTGTTAAAGCATAAACATGTAGCCCACAAAATATTATAAAGATTATTTTTGTAGAATGTTTTCAGTGAAAATTTTTATTCATATCTTTCCTGTCTCTCTATTAAAGTATTCTCTCCTCCAAATTAGCAATTTGTGTTCAGAATTGCAACAGAACTGTTGCTACATGGGAAGAAAAAGTATGGATTTATAAAACTATGGGATATAACAGAAATTTTTAAAAAAACATACAGTGAAGAAAAATGAAAAAGGCTGAGCTAAAAAACAAAGGCATTTTTGTTCTTATTGGTTACGTTTATCCTTGCCAAAGCACAAACAGTCCCATTTATGCAACCAAAAGTTCAACATTGTGATTGTTTGTGGACCTTTGTGGATTGTCAAATGTTATTTTATTGCTTGATAAGGCTGTTCGGTACTTCTTTGATTATTGGTATGTGTTATAACGGTTCAATTATTTCATTAGCCTTCCTGTAACTGCAAAATGAAACAAAACAAAGAAGAGAAGATAACTTCTACTAAGTTCTAGATGATTTACTTATTAGTAATTTGCTCCACAGTCAGAACCTGTGTTAACAGAAAGTACTACTAAATTGTACTATGAAATTGTCATTCACTTACTTAAGTACAGCATCTTTTTTGTGTATTTATTCAAACTCTATTTTTTATGAATTTAGTACTTTAAAGTTTTGTATTCTGAGCTTCAATACAATTTATTCAATTGTATTGAATAAAAAGCTTTGCTTTTATAAACATAGATAGAAGTGGACAGCAGAACAATAATATAAATTTAACAGCAATTTTATTAATCATGCTTTAATTATGATATCTCTATTATTTCATAATATTGAATAATATTGAATAGCATTGGGCTGAGGATAGATGCCATTGCACAAACATTTACAAACACTTACAGTAGGTACATTTATATAGGTCTAGAATTTAAATTCCAAGGTGACTCAGTGGCTAAGATGCTGAGCTTGTCAATCAGAAGGTCAGCAGTTTAGCGGTTCAAATCCCTAGCGCAGCGTAGCAGAGTGAGATCCCGTTACTTGTCCCAGCTTCTGCCAACCCAGCAATTCAAAAACATGTAAAAAATGCAAATAGAAAAATAGGGACCACTTTGGTGGGACAGCGCTGGCTCTTTGGCTTAGAAACAGAGATGAGTACCACCCCTAGAGCCAAAAACGACTAGCGGGGGAACCTTTACCGTTACCTTAGAATTTAAATACTATTATTGTCAAAAACCAAACAAAAATTCTGTGATAAATTCATTTACACAGATACACAAAATTGCTACACAAAAACAAATCAACTTCATTCTTTGCCATTGAGCTCATCTGAAATAGGAGTCAACAAAATATCCACAAACCTTACTGTCTTAAAAAGCAATTCCTTGGAGCCTGCCAGACTTCCTGCTGCACTTGATTTTAATGTTTGTTTATTATTTTTTTTCAGATCACGTGAATCCAGGGCCAATTCCCAAAACAGATTTTAAAAAGAAAAAACACAAGTTCCTCGTGATTCTTACCCTGTTTTCCCTACAATAACACTGATAATAAGTCCAATCAAGCTTTTGAGCAAATGGCAATAAGGCCAAGCGCTTATTTCAGGGTTCAAAAAAATATAAGATGGTCTTGTTTTTGGGGAAACACAGTATATTCTATAGCAGTATTTTTTAATTTTAAATTTTAAGATGTTTAAACTTCCAGGATTTGTCATGCTGTCCAGGGAATTCTGGGAGTTGGAGTCCATATCTTAAAGTTGCCAAGTTTGAAAAACATTATTCTATAGCAAGGATGTCAAACTCACATCACGGCAGCATCACATGATGTATCGGAACTTTCCCCCCCCTCACTTAACTGGGCATGGGTTAGTGGTGGGTTTCAAAATTTTTTACTACCAGTTCTGTGGGTGTGGCTTGGTGGTCATGGCATGGCTTGGTGGGCCTGGCATGGGGAAGATACTGTAAAATCTCCATTCTGTTCCCAATCCTGAGAAGGTTACTGCAAAATCTCCATTTCCTCTCGATCAGCTAAAACTTAGGAGGCAGAGAATAGAGGGGGCGTGGCCAGTCAGAATTTTTACTACCGGTAAATTTCCGCTACCGGTTCTCCAGAACTGGTCAGAACCTGCTGAAACCCACCTCTGGTGTGGGCATGCCCATTGCGTGACGCATCCGACCTGTGGGCTGGGAGTTTGACAGCCCTGTTCTATAGTCTCTGCTCTATTTTTTGTCTAACCCACCTTTCTGTGCCATAGTTAACCATTATGTGATTCTTTCTTCCCCATTTTCTTTCCTAAAGCTGTCCAATAAAGCATCTGCTGAATTAATACCTGATTCATGATGATTAGAGATCAGTCAGGGTCAGCAGGAACCATAAATTCATAAGACATTACTTAAATTCTCAAGCTAATTGTGGCTACTAAAGAAGGCTTGTTTGTTTCCTTCAAAGTATGACTTGGCTTCTATTTAATATTTACTTTAATATTTTTTCTATTTAATATTAAAATTGTATTGAATATTACTATCATTGTAGAAGGTATATAAATTCTACCCTCATCATTGAACTTGACTTGAGAAACTGAGAATAAACAAGGAAAGACAATTATTGCAGAGTTGAAGGCCAAATTCAAAAAGTAGATAGATAGAAGAAAAACATTACTGTACTAAACAAACAAATTTGTAAGTTTGAATAAGAAGTTCTAAAAATAATTCAGCACACTATTACACTGTATTGTGAGATGAAATAAGAAGCTTACTAATTATGAATTACTTCAGTCTTATTGTGGAAGAGACCATTGTAGACTCAAAGATACCTGAAATCTTTACATAAGTGACCTTGCAACAATCAACATTTATTTAATCTTAATATGTCTTAGCTTCAACATTTCCTTTTAACCCTTTTTTAAATGAAAAACCTACTTTGTATGAATTTTCATTTCCTATCCAACATTTTTATGTTTAATGATACATCAGATACAGATAAAATAAATTAATTTCATTAAAATGTTAGTGTTATTGCTACTATTAGTGCTTTATATTATTTATATATATCATGTCTCTCTGGGATCAGGACCAAAGTACAATTGTTCTGTACCAAAGGAAAAAATTACTATGAGAATTCTTTCTATATTGTCTCTCTTATATTAATTCTCATAACTTCCTATAGAACATAAGAATACAAATAAAGAAGAAAATAAGATTTGAGGGAAGTAGTCTTATTTTTAATGATATCACCACAGAATACATCTAAAAGACAAATAAATGACAAGTATTTTTTTCTAATCTGAAAAAAAAATCTTCAAAACTTTTTTTCTGATTGCAGAATGAAAAAGATTGTTTTAGATAATTTTAATATAAGTTAAATGATTAATATTGGTTGTATATAGTATCTATCTATCTATCTATCTATCTATCTATCTATCTATCTATTTATTTTTTTATTCCAACGATCCAGAGCAGACCAGAATAAAAGCCAGATTTATTCCCACTGTGGAATAAATCTCCTCTTTCACTTTTCTAATTGTATGCCTACCTACCTCTGATTAAATATTTTAGGATGTGTGTCAGAAGATTTGTATATGGTAGTTAGTATGCTTCAGGCTCTGGTTTCAAAGAGTTAAAGTAATTGCTTGTATGTTTCTTGAAATTCCATTAAAGGGAACAATCAAAATTATTACACCTCTTAATCTTGTCGAACTACTAAATTTCAGGGTAGTAAAACAAGAAAAATTATGGATACTTGTTTGAACCTCAATAAAACAGGCAAGCGAAATGCACCTGTGGTTTTGAATCTTATAAAAGGACTGAACATAGAATATATAGTATGGAAGGTATCTACTGTATACCACAAGAGTCCCAATAAGGACAAAACCAGTAATATAGTGCTTCCTAGTGCTTAGTAGCTGACATAACATTTCCTCCTTCCATTATCCCTTTATTCATATTTTAAAAAATGAACAAACCAGCTCAGAAACAACTTTATTTAATGTCATTTTGCTTGAAATACATGACCTTCTCAAACATAGCTTCTGTATTATATCATTGACATACTTCATTGTATGTTGCTCTGAAATAATCTGTAGCTTTAGTGTAATTTATTTCCAAACAATGTAGAGTGTAAATAATTTTATATTTTATGAGATAGTTTACAGTTGTGACTATTGTGCTTTTTCATCAAGCTTTATGTAAACCTACATGACAATAACAAAAGGAATCCAAATCAGATGGAGTTGCTGTACCCTGCTGCTTGTCCTTTTAAGATTTTCTCTCTGCTCCAATGTTGTACCTCGAGGCATTGTCTTTGGAGAAACAGTTTGGGATTATCTGTATTTCCAGTACTGCTTGACAGGTAGAATTTTCTGAATAAAAATCTATCTCCTGCAGCAGAAAAAGAAAACCATCTTTCTTTGCAATGGATTTTCTTGTTGTTTCTTCAACACTTTGTCACTAAAACACAATGTGATTTGTTTGGCTATGATTTAACATGATGTAGGAATCCGGCTACTATATTTTTTAGGCCAAACTCATTTTAATAGGTAGCTCCCTTTAAGATAGATGAGGATGGGAAGAAAGAGTTTCCAAAACTGTTTGAATATATACAGGCATTGCTTGATATTTCAAATAATTTGATCCTAAATCATGTAGTATTTTATTGGCTGTAACCAGCATTTGACTTGTGTCAAAAACTAACTGGCAATCTATGGAACTATGAATTATGAATTATTTAAAATTATGAAAATAAGACATGCATGTCCACAATGTTTGCAATTGACTAAATTGTCTGGCACAGTTAAGTATTATTTCACAGAAAAAGATAATGCAAATGTATAGATCCTAATCTCTAAAAGAAATAGTCCTTAAACTCATTCATTTGGTGACCAGCTGGAGTTAAAAACAACACTGAAAAAATGTGATTTATGACTAATATTTATGACAGTTGCACTATACAGGGGCCATGTGATCACCATTTGTAACCTCAGCTAACTTCCAACAAGTAAAATCAATGGGGGATGCCAGATTCACTTAACACTTGCAGTGATTCATTTAACAACTTTTGGGGCAAAGTCTTCAAGTATTGTTTTTGTTGATAACGTAGCTTTTGCCTTTCAATTTTTATGGCTTAGGAACCTTATAGACTGCTGGCCAGATTTCCTGACTCAGGTGGCTACAATAACACTTCTGTAGTATTCACCTGGTTTAACCTGTGTTTCCAGATGAAGCTTGGGTGCAGTTTGAATATATTCTGCAAGTTTATAGCCAGCATTTTTATTACCAGCAGTTTTGATATATCCTTACTAAAGCTTCTATTTACATTGAGTAGAAATAAATAAATTGGAAGATGCCATTTTAGTAGTAGTATCATTTACTCGGATTTATCATTTACTCTAAGTTTTAGATCTGTAATGATGAACTGTTTTGAAGTACACCTTCAACATTTAAGTTGTAAAGATCAGCATCTAGCGGTCATTTGGAGTTTTTCAGGCCAGTACGGTAAATTTTCTTTTAGTGTTTAAAGTATATCGATTTACACTATTCAGTCCTAAGCATCCAAAGTAAATCTTATCAAATTCAGTAAGACTTGCAACCTGTACTGCCAACTGACTTTCATATTTAAAGCAGAACTAGAACTCCCAGTATCCTGGTTTCTAAACTTTTCTAACCCAGCTGTTATATCAACTGGGGAAAGGGCAGTTGTAAAGATTATTGTTTACCCATATCTGAAAAAAAAGAAGCCCAAAGTCCTACTACATTTCCAGGTTCCCCTCCCCCCAAAAAGATATAATAATAAAACCTCCACTGGATATAATTAACAATGAATAAGTCACTAATTAACTTGGATTTCAAAGAATATATCGATCTCCCTTTCCCCTCCATTCTCTTTATTTCACATCTTGTGTATTTTTAAATTGCAAGACAGAGCACAGACTCTTTTGCCCAAGCTGCTTTGAGTGATCATAATTATTTGAAAAACAGGATTAAAATAGCAAGTAAATAAATAAAAACAAATAATTAAAATATTTCTGAATTCTTCTAACCTAATAAAATGTTTAATGTGTATTGTGTATCACAGTCACTCCAAACTATTCAGGAAAAGGGAAAACTTTAAATCATGGTGACTAATCAAATTAACAGTAAATAATTGGCATTTTTATCATGGCCTCACTAATTTCTTTGCCTGGTCCTCATCTACTTTTTATTGATTTTAATGCATTGACCTTTCTTGGAAGCCACTGAGAACCAGTATGAAATGGAACAGCATAGAAATCTTAATAAGAAATCAATAAATCCAAAATTATTTTAAGTAATGACAATAACAATGAAGTATGGTGGAAAAAATAATATATTTTGGAAGAAATGAAAATAAGGAAGTATCTGGTCTTCATGTGGTAATATCAGATATCAGATATATATTGCTGTAGCATTCTAGTAAATAATATTTGATAAGTGTCTCTAGTCTTGGCAATATGCAACTCTTTTATAATCTATATCATTCCTGCTATCTTTCTAAAGTGCCAATTTTCAGTTAAAAGGAATTTTTACTGGATAATAGGAAGAAAAATGGACCCTTTGTGCTAGTCATTCATTTGACAGATTTTCTCAGACTGGCAGCCAGGCTTAACATTAAAGCCTTTTAGCTCTTGTTGAATGTCTTTGCTGGACACAGTTCCTGTAGGACTGGAAAGCTGCCATAGATATGGAGTTAGCAAGCAGCAGCAGCTTCTTAACAGCTTATCTTTACAGTATGGCAGAGTCTTTCTCTGCTGGTAATTGCGCCTGAATAAATTAGCTTTACTCAATGGCTTTCAGGTAAATAAGTGGTTTATGTCTGTTCTATGGAAAGGCTATCTGGCAATCTGATCACTACATAATTATTAAAGTAGTGAATATTTATTGCATAGGAGAAACAAAAGTGTAATAATGCACCATCAACTGTCTTTTTTTACCCAAAATACAGTGTACAAATGCATTAAATAATTGTCTTAATAATGTTGCTGTCTTCAACACATAATAGCAATCTCTTCATGCAGATATTCAAACAAGTACCATAGTTTGTACTGAAACTCGCAATCTGTGTAACATTCATGAATTAAACATATGCATGGAGAGTTTTCTTCAGGAAATTGTTGTCTGCCAGTCTGGTGCCTTTTAATATTATTTCCTCTCCATTATATTTATTACATAATTCAAAACATCTGAAAGTCCTACTGCAGACCCCCAATGCAGACCATCTCTTAAGTATCCTGTTAGATAAAAAAAAAAATCAATGTCTAGCACGAAAAAATTGTGTGAAAGATTTAGAACAATGAGAGATATTTTGTGTGCCTTATCATGATTGTGGAAAGAGTAATAAATTGTCTTCAAAATGGGAGGATTGTCTTAGATTCAATGAGAACATGGGAATAGAAGAGAACAAATAATACCCTAGGAGTTTTTTGCTGATGTGCAAAATAGTGTCTAAAATTCGGGATTGCTTTCTTTATGAAAAACTAATTTCTTGCTTTAGAATGTTATCCTGCAAAAATGTTACAACATAATTTGTCTTTTCCCTGGACAAACTGCCAGATCGTAACACATGAACAGCAAATACTGTAATAAAACAATGCTTTTGATAACAGTAGACAGAACAAGGAGAAACTGAAGAGCTATTTCTCAAAAAAGCTTTTGAGGCGGGGATGACAAGAAGCCATTGATTCACTTTTTGTAGAGGCCAGTACAGATACTCCCATCATTAAGGCTGTGTGATCTACTTAATCAAAAGGGGGCTCTCTTAGGAAGTGCAATTAGCATTTGAAGTATAATTTGCTATTTAATGAATACTCTTTTTTATCTGCAATTACTCAGAGCAATACAAGCCTCCCTTGGGCCCTCACCTTTTATCACTACAGAGATCAAATACTGTTCACCCAACTATATTTTGTGGAGTCTTTTTTTCTTATGCAAATAAATACATCATCAGATAACTAGGCACTGTAGCACAAACTGTACTTTGGATTACTCTGCTGAAGGCCTAAAAAGGGACATTTGTGTCCCAAAAATTTCCTACATGTTATAAAAGGCTGGCATATTTCTTTCTCTAATTGATTGTACTACACTAGTTCTACCTTAAAATGGATGACAGTAATTTCAAAGAAATACTAAAGTATTTGGCAGCTTGAAATTAAGAATAATTTAAAAATAGGTAGGAATACATCATGGAAACATCTTAACCAATCATTCAAAATATAAATGTTTAGATTTGCTATAAGATTATCTGATATTTCATATATAATGTTTAATATTATGGCTGTAGCCAGACAGGCTACTAGCTAGTTTCAAAAAAGTAATGGCTCTACTTCGAGCTATGTGGTAGAGATAGATGTTCCATATTCCTTAAGGTTTTCTTGAGAAGAGGAGTTCTGCCAGTATCAAAACTCACAATGTGATATGGAAAATAATACATGATTAGTAAAACTGTGCCTCTGGTCCAATCATCATAATTTTTCTTAAACATAAGAAAAAATATGCTTTCTTTTTTTAAAAGTAAAATCCATTCATCTCAACATTAGGAAAGTGAAGTTAAATTCATGAACTGAAAATTGAAATTAATTTCTTGTAATGGAAAATAAATGATTTAACCTTTTATCTATCTAACCTACTTTTTCCACATGGAGTAATGAAGACTGAAAAGCAGAGGCTCCATTTACAAGATGGCATATATAAAGCAAAGGAAAGGCCAGACAGTGTTATTTGAAAAAGAAACCTGGTGGAAAACAGACTTAACGTTTTGAACAAGAAGAACTAATAGTCTGGTCTGCAAACTGTTTCTTATGCTGTACGTATGATTATTTTAAAAAGATCTTTTGGAATATGATATAGATTTAAGCATAAATGTATGGCTAATGAAAAAATATTATAAATTATTTTAGAATAACTATCTGCTATATATTCAGAATTAAATGCTGAAGTGGCTCTCATAGATCAGAAATTTATGGAATTTGTGGAATTTATATAACAACTGTAATTAACATCTGATATAAAACAATAGCCGTGCAAGTAATATAAAGTCATTTACATAATTTGCAGCAAGTGACAATTATTTTGGTAGAAAAGTACTGGAGCTATTTCTTTTTAATGAGAATTATACTTTGCCAATAGAATAGAATAGAAGCAGAACAAAAAATTCATGGAGATAAAATGAGAAATCATAGCATACCTTGGTTGTCAGTGATATAAGTATGTTAAAGTAAAGCATATAGTGAATAAGGAAATTAATTTTAGAAATTGAAATTACACTGTGAATGCATGAGATTTTTTAAAAATCTTGCTGATTTACTTCATCTCTTCCTTCTCCTCCTCCTCTTCCTCCTCTTCCTCCTCCTCCTCCTCCTTCTATATTGCATCTGGGAGATTGTGGCTAGGATCTACTTTAAAAGGAAAAGTTCATTTTTTAAAAAAAAGTTTAAACATGAACATTACATTTTTGCTTTTTATTAGGAATCAAAATAAAGTTTCACAGTAGAAGATTTCATTTTTTTGGATATTGTGCCGGGTTACTTACAGGCACTTGATACATATGCAAAAGTCAATTCCTGAGATCTACAGCATTATAGAAAAGCAAATTCTTTTATTATTATTTACATATCTTTGGGAGAATGATGATGCTGGTTTTTCTACTGTGGGTCATCCTGACTCGAGGTTTTGCAGTTCCTTGTAGCCCAAATAAAGCAGGTAAAATAATTGATTAAAAAAAATAATCTAGCTATATCTGCAACACGCCTGTTCATATTTGATCTGATAGCAAAAATGGTTAACAGAAACATATACCATATCTTACATTTGGAGCTATTCATGCAGAATAATAATGATGTATGGGATTTAATAGCATTTTATAAAGGATACAAACCACCCCAAATTTAAGGTCAGTTAATTTTATTGTTTAAATGTCCCACTGAATATTAATATAGTATAGTATAGTATAGTATAGTATAGTATAGTATAGTATAGTATAGTATAGTATAGTATAGTATAGTATAGTATAGTATAATACCTGGAACTCGTATTTTTAGAATAGTTTGTTTTATATATAAATAAATATTTATATATTTATATATAAATTTATATATAAATAAATTATATATATATATGTGTGTGTATTAATGTGTACATTAAATTATTTATATATATATATATATATATATATATATATATATATATATATATATATATATAATTATTTATTTATTTTTAATTTGATTTATATGCCGCCTTTTCCGGAGACTCAGGGAGGCTTACAATGCGTTAAATATATATATATATATACATATATATATATATGTTTTCTCAGGTTTTCGCGGGTGTTTGTATGTAGGTCTTTGGTTATTCGGGTCTTCTCCCACGTAAAATTGGAAGTGTCTTGGCGACGTTTCGACGAAGTCTCATTCGTCATCTTCAGGCTGGTGTTCTCTTACTCCTGGAAGCACGAAGCCGAGAACACCAGCCTGAAGATGACGAATGAGACTCCGTCGAAACGTCGCCAAGACACTTCCAATTTTACGTGGGAGAAGACCCGAATAACCAAAGACCTACATATTATATATATATATATATATATATATAATTTAATGTATTGTATTTATATTTATTTATATATTTGTATTTATAGTACGTGATATAGTAAACAGAATTTTGTGCATAAAGGAATCGTTACTTTTTCCTTTTCAAGGACATGTGAAAACAAGTCCTATCCATTGCAAAAAAGCCAAGAATAATTTCCAGAGCAATGAATGGGGTGAATTTTGTGACACCTAAACATTTATTGTGTTATGAGTCTGTACATCATGTAAAAAGAGAACACACAATTGATCTTGGCCCAAATGGGTCATGTTTTGTGTCCATATGGCTGTAAGGCTAAAGTAGAATGTGAACAGTAACCTGGAAAAAGTACTACTGATTTTTTCCACTTGTTGTATATTGTCTTCTTACCATTAAGATTCCCACAGAAGGAATAGCAACATAATAATCCCCTAAATGAGGCAAAGATAGATGATACATTCATTCTGTTCTTTTTCTGCTGATGGAAATTAGTTGTATATTAACACTTGCTTTTGCATAGTGTGCTGTGCAGTTCACACATATATTCATGCTTGTAAAATTAAGGTAACTGTAAAATGTGGCTAATATTTTGCCATAAAAAGAAATCATAAATTGTAGATAATACTAATCCTATTTGCATGTTTACGTTTCTTTAATTTCTAAGCATGAGAGAAGACTAGTTAAGATATGCAGACTCTGTTGCTGCCTTTAGCTCCTATTTTTGCAATAATATTGTCTTATTCAATGCCCAAAGGCATTAGAATACAGTTTGAATTGCTTATTGTGGTATTAATTTTGGAAGCTAATAGTGGAAGATACTGAAAACTTAATTTGAATCAAAGCTTGTAATCATGGAAAGAGCATTACTTCCCTTGATTTTGTAAGTAGAACTTTGCTGCATAAATGTATTATCTTCCTTTTTGCTTTTTGCTTTAGATGTGATTTTGGTATATTGTTACCCTAAAACAATTATTACCAAAATCCCAGAATGTCCATATGGATGGGAAGTTAATCAACTGGCACTCGGAGGGATTTGTTATAATGGAATTCATGATGCAGGATACTATCAATTTACTATCCCAGATTTGTCACCCCAAAACAAATCATACTGTGGAACACAATCAGATGTAAGTAGCTTATGTGTTACCATTCCATTTTCCATACATGTTTATAGTTGTGCGAGGTATGTTTGAAGTGGGATATATTTCACAAGATTGTATCAAAGTAATATACATTTATACATTTGAAAAAGAATTGATACAAATTTTCCAGCATTTTTATATTTTCAGCATTGTTAAAGATAACTAATTCATTTGCATTTATATTAAAGTCAAAGTCACTCCTTGTCATTCCTTGCTGGGACATTTTAGCCATGCTCAGGATTTGAATATCCAATGCCTGGTAAAAGAAGGAAAGGACTAAACAGACTGTATATTGTAGATATGAACAAATTCTTTCTTTATCTGACAAGTACCAAAAAGATATATCAACTTCACAACTAGTTTATTGCATTGCTGTTAGCAATACCATTGTTACAGCACTGTTATTTAATAGCACTAATGAACATGTTTGATGAAAATTCTTTTTCCCTATTGTGCATATATTAATAACACTGTTTTATTTTATTTATTTCAAATGTACACTTAAGATGTCACAGGCCTGGTGCTTACACATGTGTAATGTACACCCATACCAGAATTAAGGCTAGAATATATTCTTAATTCTCCATCTATGTTTCCATACCATCTATCAGCAATTGAGAGCCAAGGAAAAGTGTCGCATATCCTGTTCTATATTACAGTATTTTATCTGGATATGTTTAAGGTTGCAATATCTGAGAATTGGAAATCTAACTTACAGAGTTGGATTCACAATGAATGTTCATAGTTTATTGACACAAAGAAATACTATTCATTATGAGCTAAATTTATCGCTATGTTTACAAATGTGCTTTTGTCTTTTTTTTTTAATTCACATTTTTTTTCCAGTGTTTTGGTTTAATTTTCTTTTGTCTCTCTTTAATTATTTTTTCTATTGGATTTTGGATTTTAATCTATTGAATAAAATAAAATAGTTAAAAAAGAAATTTAACAAAATTTTCTGTGGATTTAATAATGATTTTTTTAAACTTTTCTTTATTATTGTTCTTTGTATTTCTTTATTTTATGTGGACTTTGTTTTTCATGAAAGTGAAGAAATATGTATCAAACAAAATAGAGCATATAAAAGTCCAGACAACCAATATAGGCAGCAAAGTATTAGTTTTCTGTGTCCCTTTGCTGCCATCTGGCAGACACCAGGCACGTATGATAACTATATAAAGTGGCCTCTCACTCAACAGTCCTGGGAAGCTTACAAAACAAATAAAACATCATTAAAATAGGAAAGACAAAATAATAAACACATGTGATTGCAACAATACATTGTTAAAAAAAAATGGCTGAATAAGTTGTTGTTGTTTTTTAAATTTGATTTATATGCCGCCCTTCTCCGGACACTCAGGGCAATTTACAATGTGTTAAGCAATAGCCTTCATACTTTTGTATATTTTATACAAAGTCAGTTTATTGCCCCCACAATCTGGATCCTCATTTTACCTACCTTAGAAAGGATGGAAGGCTGAGTCAACCTTGAGCCTGGTGAGATTTGAACTAGCAGTAATTGCAGGCAGCAGATGTTAATCACAATGCTATCAGTCTGCTGATCCACCAGGCAAGTTCTTCTTGCCTTGTGTTCTGTATTTTCTCATCTTTTGTATCACCCCGAACAGTGGTGTTAATTGAGCCTAAGAGACAGAGGATCCTTTTACTGTCATTACTGGTTTATTGTTTATTTTATTTTCATATTTAGTATAAAGCTTTACTGTATAATTTTTGTTAGTCGTGTTTAACTTACTGCTTGCTTTGTACTAGTTTTATTACTAGTTTTATTATCAAGATGGAAATTGATACAAATGTTTTAAAATAAATGCATTTATTTAAAATAAATTTTAAATTTTAAAATATATTTTAAATGTGAATTTATGAGGCATGGTCTTTAGAAAGCAAACTTGTTCTTATTTCTTGTATCTTTATGGGCTTGGGAAGTGCCATGATTCTGTATAGTTGGAAACTCAACAGATTTAGAACTGAATGAATGATAGAACCATTTAAACTAAAATCATATTTGCATCTTTTTCTTCCCATGCAGTTTAAAAACCCTGTTTATCATTTCTATAACTCTATCAGTTCCAATGATAGCACTATCATTGTGAAAAGCCAACCTGTCAACTATTCATTTACCTGCACCTATCAGGCGAACTATCTAGTGAACCATGCTGCCTTTGACCAAAGGTAACACTGCCCCAATTCACTAGAATTTCATCTTCTAGCATATGTTTCACTCTATTTTCAATAGCATAGGAATCAGTTCTGTGTCATTTTCTGCCTATTTTAGGGTAGCAACTGTTCATGTGAAGAATGGCAGTGCCGGTTCCTTTGAAAGCCAGTTGTCTCTCAACTTCTATTCTGTAAGTAAGTGCTGATTGCTCAGTAAATTTCTCAGTAGAATAGTGAATAAGACAAGGATTTGATAGTAACTTGAAAAAACTAAGTTTTTTGTGTAGTTGCTCCAATTCAGTGAATATTTATAAAATATTAATGTAGACTAGACTGCTAAAAATACTGCTTTGAAATACCATCTAGCAAATTTTATTTTTCAGATCTTTGTAGATTCACAAATGATGCTTTAAATGATATGCATTATTAATCATCTTCATATATTGGACTCTCAACTGGTGTTATTACCAAATTATAGCTAAAATGTATTTATTTCTATTGAGGGTTCTATAAGGGTATTAATTCATAGGACTTGGTTCCATCTTGTAAGCATCTGCAGACCCAAATCTCCCAATATTTTGGGGATCATGTATAATTGGTAGGGATATCATGGAAGGTTATTTTGCAAGACCATTAGGAAAACATTTTTCCTCCTTACTTTCATTTATGAAAATCAGATTCATTCACATAAGTCATCATTTGATATTCTATAGAAATTGTCTGTGGAGACTATCAGTTATCTAGGTTATGGTTGTACCAAAGGTGTTTTTTCAAAAGGCAACTGAACTTCCTTTGTTTTACCTCGAAGATGTTTCACTTCTCATCCAAGAAGCTTCTTCAGTTGAATAGAAATCCTGAATATACGTGTTTTTTATTTTCATGGTAGAGAAGAAAGTACTCTGTTTTTGTTTCATGAAGCAGACTGAAGGGAAGAAACAAATTCGGTAGTATCAGTATTCAAGAAAGGCAAAACATAAAAAAGATGCTCAAAGAGGCAGTCTCTACAATAGTATTGCTGTTTCTAATTATTCCTTAGTAATCCCCAAGATTAAACAGTTCAAATTTATGAACTCCAATCTCTACCAAATTCACTATTTGAGGAAGGTGAAAATGAATCCTACACCAAGTGTCTTGTCAGTGCGATAGCTAATGCAGTCTTATTCTTTGAAACATTATTGGTGGTTTATACATCGCTGTGTAATAATAATATGCTATGCAGTGTGCATCACAGTTTGTATATTTGCATTTCCAAACTATATACCAGCCACTGTTCTTTATTTTAATGTTCTCCACTAGTGGTTCAAGAAGCCATTAAAAAAGGCAGTAACCAAGTTAGAAGGGTTGGATTGAATATCCTTTTCCATTTATATGAATTATGTTTCTCCTCAGAATTTGGTATATCTCAACCAGGGGTAGGTTTCACTTACCTTTGCTACCGGTTTAATCATGTGGGTGTGCGAGCAAAGCGAACGCAAGCACCACTTCTGTGCATGCACAGATTGTATTTGATAATGTCCAGGTGGGTGGGCAGAGCCTTCCACCGCCGCCACTACTGGTTCGCACGAACCAGGACGAACCAGTAGCAACCCACCACTGATCTCAGTGCATGTTACCTAAATGTTCTCACAACCCCTTGTTTCATCTCTAACAGAGAATAGCCTAGATTTTCTTCTGAATTATTTAAGAAATTAGATACCATTATAGTTTTGAGAATTTTATTGAGGAGGTAAACAGGTGAGATAATGGATATTTTCTTGTGTACTCCAGGGTAATATTTCTAATGTTGATATTCTAATTTCTAACACATATCTAAAGTAAAAGCTTGTTAAATTATTATGTAAGTATCTGTTGGTCTTGAGGTCTGCAGGAGTCTGGGTTGATCCTTGATGACCAGGACCATCCATTAAGCAGAGTGAACTGACAAAGGAACACAAAATAAAACTTAAAGGAATTCAAAACGGCAGCAAATGGCTGATTGTTTAACTTATTTTGAATCAATGTTGTTTATACAACAAGAACATACTACTTCAAGAGGGAAGCAGTTGTATCATTTTCTAAGGTATAAAAATGACTTGCTCAATTTCAATTATGGTGCAATGTGTGTTTTCATAATAATCAATTGTTTCAGGTCAAGCAGCAAGCAAGATCTTATCATTTGGCTGTATACTGTAGAAAGCAATACTATAATTAGGCATATTATAATCTATCACAAAATATATCAGAAAAGAGCAGCAGATAGTTAATTATTTAATACATTTTTAGTGCGTGTTTACTGTTATGAAACTTTGGCTACCAAAATAATTTGGCTAACCTCAGATACTCTAAGAAAGTATGACCTTCATTTGCTGCTCCTGCAGATCTCCTGCAGCAAAATAATAATAATAATAATAATAATAATAATAATAATAATAATTCACATTACCCTGTTTTTTTATCTCAGAATGCCAAGTTTTCAAGCAAGAAGGAAGCCCCTTTCATTATTGATACATCAGAAATTGGCTCTGATGTATTTGCTGGAGTGGAAGCCAAAGGCTTAAGTCATAGGTATGATTTTTTTATATCCATGGCTTTCAGTATGATATTATTTTTCTGTCAGTGTTCATGTCTCTTTGTCCTTTTGCAGATTTAAAGTAGTGTTGAGCAATTGCTGGGCAACCCCTTCCTCAGAATATTTCTACCAAATCCAGTGGCCTCTGGTAACTAAGGGGTATGTAATTCATTCACTCTCTCCACCCAATCAGGTTTAGTCACATGAGATGGTATTCCACTGGCTAAGTATATTTTAATTCTATTTATTTATTTATTAGGTTTATATCTCATCTGTTTGTTCCTCATTTTAATAATATCTGTTATTTGTTTGGAATAGGTGTGCAACAGATAACTCCATTTTAGTACATGAAAATGGCAAAAATAATCGAGCCACCTTCCAATTTAATGCATTTCGGTTCCAGAATATTCCCAAACTTTCCAAAGTGTGGCTACATTGTGAAACATATGTGTGTGATAGTGAAAAGTTCTTTTGCCCTGTGGTAAGTTCTTTAGATAATAGCTCACAATAAAATCTAGATTCCCAAAACAGGATGCATGAACCTGAAAAGACAATCCAGTGTAAATATGGATTTTTGGTCCAAAATTTCAGTACAGTATTAAATCAGTTTTAAAGCCATTTCTGTTTTTGTTATGACTTACATTAAAAGTGTAAACCTTTCGGCTTTGTGATTACAGATATGTTATATTTCAAGTTCTACACTCCATCTTGCAATTTTGCTGGCAGATTACGGACTTGATATTAGGAATGGTGCAGTGGCATAGTGGTGGAGCTCTTGCCTCACAATCAGAGGCTGTGAGTTCGATCCTAGTTAGAAGCAGATATTTCTTTCTCTGAGCACAATGAGAATATATCTCCTGAACAAAACTCTGCATTGGTGACAGGAAGGGCATCCGGCCATTAAAGACTTGATATTGAATACACCAAAATGACATTGGTTAGTGGATCTGAGGATTTGCTTTAATGCTTCTGCAGGCAGTAAAACTTGGATTTAGGCACAGAAGTATCATGGTGACATGTCTTTGCTAAGTATGATGGCTGCTGGAATAAAAGCTATATCTCAGACTAACACACTTTACAATGTTATTGTAAGACAATATGAACTTCATGTTTGTAAATATAAGCTTCATCTATGAGTAAGAATGGAAAGGAATGATTTGTGATATTCACTAGAGGGTGCTAATGCATTGTTTGTTATAGTGTTGTCCTATACTGTTTAGAAGCTTTTTGGATATGATAAATGTTCTGTGTCTCATCAAGAATTACGATTTATTTGGAATCCAATAAAAGACTTGTAGAATTTACTGTAAGTAATTACTATAAGTAAATTTAGCGTATGTGACAGTTCTACATCTATGGCCTTGCCTATAATTTCTGAAGTTTGGATTTGAGATTCCCTTTATAAAAATCATATGCAGAAGGCATTGTGTTCATTGACTAATATGTCAATGCATGTGACTGAATGCAGGGCATATATATATCTCTAACCAGTAAAATTTTAGAGAAATCCATACTGTGTTATTGATAACAGTGGAGGAATGGTTTGGCTTTGCTTTCTCCTAGGTAGGCTGGGTTCCTTCATCCTTGTTTCATTTCAGTCCTTATTATGGATTGTTTGTAGCTTCGCCTCACCCTTCTTGACCTTATGAGGAACTTCTACCCATGATAATGTTGCTCTCAGGGTTGCTGAATCCTTCCAATAGCTCAGATAATTCACAGGAAGGGATAGTGTACTTTTTTTTTCTTCTGTTCAGTTGTGTCTGATTCTTAATATTGCCTAGACAACTCCCTGCAGTTATCTTGGCATAGTTTTTCAAAAGTGGTTTGGTATTGCTTTTTTTCTAGGAATGGGAGAAAGTGATTGGCCCAATATCACCTAGCTGGTTTTGTGCCTAATATGGGACTAGAACTTGCAGTCTCTCAGTTTCTATTAACCACTATACCAAACTGGCTCTTTAATGGTAGATAATTATCACCTAATGTACCAAGAGTGAGGTTACTATCTTAACTTTATTCCATGGTACTGTTGCTAAAGATCTGCAAAAATGCTCTCAAAATGTTTAAGGGAAGGAAATCTGTGTTTTTTTGGCTGGTTAAAAAAAATAATTTGTCTTTTTGTTGTTATTGTTTTTCTTGGGTTCTATAGTTACTTAAGATGCATACTTTTTATAAACTAGGATTAACTATTTTAATTGTTTTTTAATTTATTTATTTATTTATTTATTTTTGCTATTTTTAAGGCATGTGCAAAACGGAGAGAACATATGGAGCAAACAGGTGGTGTTTTAATTGCAGAATTCATTGTGAATAGTAAGTTCTAATGTTTCTAATGAAAATGGAAATGCTTTACTAGAAGAAGTTTGTTTCATCAGATGAAAAGAATTGCCATACTCATTCACACCCACACAGGGACACCTTGCTACACACTTCACACTACCCTTGTTCCCTAATCTACTCTTACTATATCCTTCCTCTCACTTTTCACTCAACCTTCTATGAAACAGTTGGATGATTACCAGCTCTGTTCTCCTGAGACTTTCCCACCATTATATGCATTGAAGTCAATTTCATTTTTCCTTTCCTGGGTAGAATATTTCATAGCAAACAATGCCTACTCTGGGCCAGAGTAGTCTGGAAAGAGCAAATGGAAGATTTCACCGCTGAATTTTTCTGAGAAGGAAAAATAAATATAAGGAATAAACTATAAATATCAGCAGTGAGATGCAGCCTAGCCTTATTCTGACTACATCATTCTGACTACATCTCAATTGATTTTCTGATTAAGGCAGAAACGGAGAACATTTAAACTGAATGTGGACCTTTATGATCAACTTTCAGATGCATTCCAAGATATGGAGAAATCCTGCAAGATGAAATTAAGATAGACCTTATGGCATTAAAAAAATGAACAGTGGATTAGTACACTTGATCAAGTCACATTAGCTAAAGAAAAGTTTTGTTGTAATGACTCTAGTCAGAGCTACAGTATTTTTTTTTAATTCAGAAAGTTGTTTGTAGGGAGTAGCTGAGATGAACTGTTTGAAATATTTTGTTTACTCTGAACTAGGAAGTGTAATGATCAGCCACCCTGAACATTGTTTAAAATGAAACTGAAAATTCAACTATTCAAATTTTCTGAATAGGCCATCCTTTTTAGAATTGATATAGCTTGCATTGATAATATCATATAACTTGCTAATAATCTAAGACTTTTTTCTTATTTCACACAGGTAAAGGGTTATCCAGGAGTTACACATTTTCAGGTAGAATTTAGAAATACTATAATTAAAAGATTAATTGTAATCCAACCAATACTATACAAATAATAGGGCTGTGTAATGCTTCAGTTTGAAACTGAAAAGTTGCTTCAGCATACGTGGGAGCCTATAGTCATCACCTGCCAACTTCTTGGGTTATATACTTTTTCACTGAGTCACTGACATATGTTGATAGATCTTGGGAAAAAGTGCAGTTCCTTTAATCAGATGGTGGATTCATATTCCCACATATTGTGAAGCAACTTTTCAAAACCAAACCTAAAATATTAAACAGTCCTAATAGATAACAAATGAAGACTGTTGCTTTATATTAAGAGCACAAGGGCCATTGCTTTGTTGTATATACTTTCTACGTTTCATAATATTTTTCACAGCTGGAGAAATATTCAAGTAAAACTTATTAACATTAGAAAGGATTTTATATGTACTACTTCTTTCTTACCCCTGTTAACATCAGAATCTTGGTAGGGAGATGTCTGCAAGACATGACATGTCATGACATGTCAAAATTCATGATCAGATTCTGATTTTTCTGTCTCATCGGAAGAGTTCCTGACAGCAAAGTAGGGCAGCCATTATCCATATTCATAAGATCTCTGGTGGCGCAATGGTTAGAATGCAGTATTTCGGGCTTACTCTGCCCACAGCTAGGAGTTTAACCCTGATGGGCTTGAGATTGACTCAACATTCCAACCTTTCGAGGTTGGTAAAATAGATTTCGAGGTTGGTAACCTAGATTGCTTGGGGCAATACATTGACATTATAAATCACTGAGAGAGTGCTGTAAAGCACTATAGAGTGTATATAAATTCTTAAATTTGCTATATGCCACTCAAGAGATTGCATCACAAAATGTGGAAATAAAATGGACAATGTTTTGTTTGCTGGTTGTTTGTTTCAAAATTTGCACTGGGAATGGCAGTAGGTATCCACCGGCTTGCAAATGACTTCAATTCCTATCTGTAACCTCTCACCTAGAGATTCTGAAAAATTGGCTGAAATTACACTACCAAAAAACATCCATTCCAGTGCTGAAAGTTAGTACTGTAACGGAATCAGAGTTATTTTACAAGGTTTTTGAGGAGAAGATTAAGTATGGAACTGGAAAATGTTTGCTTCCCAAAGCCATCTATTTTTTGTAGAAAATGTTTTAAAAATACAAATAAAAACAAAAATTTCATTCTGGCAATCTTTTCATGTCATTTAAAAATGGCCTCTTTTTTTGCAGTCCTTCAGAGAGTGAGCGAGAAGCAACCCCCAGATATTGTCCAGGCTTACTACATTTCCTATAGCCTTCCACATAGAACATAAATACCACTGGATATATTTTTTTAATTAAAATAAATAAACTCAATAATAAATAATGAATATCTTCACTATGAAAACCAGTTTGGAACAGTGATTAAGGCACTGAGCTAGAAACTGAGAGACTATGGGTTTTATTTCCACCTTAGATACAAAGTGACTTTGGGCCGTTCACTCTCTCTCAACCCTAGTAAGGAGGAAACAAGGAAGAAGTGGCAAACCACTTCCAAAAAATCTTGCCTCAGAAGCTTCCGAGAGCAGACCAGACATTTACCTGGACTCTGTATTGAAATGAATGAGAAATATATCTTTACAATACTTTGGAAAGTACAAGAACGTAAACAGATGTGAATGGTAGACACTGTGCAGTGACAGTTGCTAATGACTTATATTTTTTCTGTTTGTCTTTCTTTTGCAGTTATTTCCCATTTATTCCTGTTATTTGGAATTTGTGTAGTTTCAGGATAATACCTGATCCAACTTCAACTGTTAATTATTATACTCTGATTCTCTGTTGCTACAAAAAGGTATTTTGCCCACTTCAAAATTTTGCATAAAAATAATTCTATGAGATCTAAGAATAATGGTGATTTGTATTTAATTATGTGCTTTCTTGATATACATTTCTTGTTTTCTGAACAAAAGAATAAAGATACTTAATATAATTTACAACTGTTTTTTTTCAAATGTTAGTCCAAAGAAAAAGGGCAACCTTTTATTTAATTTTGACTACGTAAACCAAGCATCTATCTCTTGAATAATGGGGCTAGCAAATCACTTTGCAGAAATAAGCTAAATATTGCTAGTACAGTTAAAGAATACAATAGAGAATAATTGGGTAGCAGAATAATGCTTGGAATATAGCTGTTCTCAAGGTATCTAGTAATTTTCAGTATAAATCAATGTACACCAGTTTTATACTATGATTAGGTTTTGGCTTCTGTATATTATGTTAGAGAGTCCTTGTGTGCAACCAAGACCACTGTCCATTATTGAGTAAAGCATATTTGTACTGAGGACTCTGACTGGATTGACATATCTTATTATATCTTCTTACTATAAACCATGGTTTATAGACCATAATTACTAGGTTCATACAACTGACAACAAAATGTAAATACATGGTTCCTATCTACCTTCAGATTAATGAAGCCGTGATGCCCATAGAAGCTTCATAGAAAATACAAAATGTTTGCATTGTAGTCTTCCTGAGGGTACCAGTAATAATTGACTATATAACATTTGGTGAATAAGTAGGTCGTCTGTTCCAAGTTGCATTTCCATTTAGGACCACCATCATCAGCTTTCAGAAATAATCACCTAAGAAAATAATTGAAGTTTAACATTTAAAGTTGAATAAAAGCTTGCAACACCTAGAATATTCCTTAACCTTTATACTCAGTGAGCATTTTATTGGGCTGTAAGTTGAAAGATATACATTAAACCCATTTATTAAAACTTAACAATATTAGTCAAGAGAATAAACATATTCTTGAGAAATAAAAAGGAAATAATTGCACAAACCCATTATAAATTCTTATTATTTTCAATATGACTTTTCTGAACCAATATACAAACTACAATATAAACTTTTTAAAGATGAATAAATGAAAATAAAAAGTTTAAGAAAACCATCACTTTGATTCATGTGCTTTATCCACATTTAATAATTATATTAGGCAAATGAATATGTCATTTTTAAAATAATAGATTACAACTGGCTGGTATATTTTTTTAGAATATTAGAAACACAACACCTGAAACAATTTATATTCTTATGGCAAGATAACATGAAGAATGAAATTTGAATGAGGGCAGGAGGAATGTGTATTAATATACTGAAATGACCATGCTTTTCTTTAAACAAAACTTCAGTGACATATTTTAAAAGAATCCAGAAATAATATTTATATTTTTGTTTAAAAAAGTAAAGATTTATGTCTATGGAGATTCTCAATCACCCATGTCATGATTGTCCATAAGGTGTCCCAAAGATGCTTCTTAGATGACAAGCGAAATGTTTTCAAGCAAACCAAGAAAGTCCTGTTGTCTTTTGGAGAAAGCATCTTTGTGGAATAATTAGCTTTAGATTTTTCTACTTCATCTTACATTGCTTTGTTTCTAGTTCAAATTCTATTCTGAAATGATATCTATACTATGCAATAAAACACACAATTCAATAAATTGATTTCTAAGTAGATATTGTTAACATTCTTATGTTCCAATAAATTACATTGTGTCTGATGAGATTCATTAGACTATTTCTTTAGTTGTGCATTTTGCTAGTGATATTTTTTTTTAAAAAAATACAAAAACATCTTCACAGACAATATGCAGGGCATTACATCATTTCTTATACTAATGTAAAAAGTGAACTTTTTTGTTCACCTAATACTATGATATGCACTGAAATTACACATACATATGCATAAAGCAAACAAAAAAAAAAACCCACAAGAAATATGTTGTGCATATACACATATTATATATTATTATTTTATATACTATTCAATAAGTAATAAGAGGCTTTGTGACAGTTCCCTTGTGATGCACTTATACAGAAATGGTAAATGGATGAAAAGAAGAATTTAAGGTAAGGAAAAAATATCCTACTAATTGCCCATGGGTATTTTTCTTTAATTTAAATATGATTTATGGGTCTATTCTTTTATAATGTAAACTTTAGGTTTGGAACAAATGTAAATTCTAGAAGATGGTAAGCTTATAAATATCTAAAAAAGCTCTTGCCTCATGGAAGAAAAGGAGCCTTATACTTGCTTTGGATTGTCTGTCCAAAAGGTAGCAATATGACTATGAAAATCAGTTAATATGATATTACTATTTAGAAGGACTGTGCTGTGTTTCAGATACTATTCCCCAATGATACTTTAAAGTTTGACCAAATGTAGGTCATAAAGCTTACAAGTGTTTAAATCAGCCATGGTTTTGTTTTTTTTTAAACAAGTGTAAAGCAACTGCAGAAGGCATCTGCGTGATCACAGAAAAAGGCACAGCTACTTTACAGAGCTCCAGATAGGTATTGTGCTTATGCTCCCATCTACATCAAAGCACTTTATTTGAATGAAATCTATTAGATATATTTCTCTCCTTTCACAATTAAGATAGTTTACAATATAAAGTGTCCAAACTATAGGTTGAACAGCAATGCAAATTAAATACAGATAAATGTCAAACATTAAAATTAAATTAACAATTAACAACATGAAGAAAGACAAGTGTTTTCCAGAGCGCTGCATCTATACTCCATAGCTGGGTTTAATCCTCAGCTATGGAGTGTATCCGCAGCACTCCGAAAATGGACGTTCAGGTAAGTCAACGTCCGTTTTTACTAAATCTCTAAGTACTAGGAGTTCACATTCAGTTGATAACGTTTAGGTCAGATAAAGTCCTTAGATACAGATTCTGCCTCCTCATTTCCCTTCATCTGTGGTTGAAACTTGTTGTTGAAATCTGGTAGTGGCATGTCAAATCCAGCTTTTCCTTTCAGCCAAAAAGTCCTTTGCTGTCCTTTACCCTAGCAATCAATAAAAACAAAGCTCTTTTACATAACATCAAAAGCAAAGTTATTCATATGTGTATTTATATCAATACCCATAATTGCAGAATGTTGGAAAAGAACAGCGAATTTCAAATTTTGTGGCTTGGCCTAGCTGGGGGAGGAGAGGGGAACTGGGCTGCATGAGCAGCAGGCTAGTACGCATGCACGTGAGTGACTGCTGGCCCACTGCTCACATAAGTTGAGTTGCACATGTGCATACATTCTTTGGCCAGCCACTCGCATGGCCCAATTCCAGATAGGCCACAGCCGGTAGTGGGCCATGGCCTGGGGATTGGGGATCCCTGGCCTAGAAGACTGCCAGCTTTTTAGAAAGGATTAGCATTTAGCATTTAGCATGATTAAAAGCATTCCTTTAAGGAAAGGTAATGAAGAAGAAATGGAAAAAATGGAATCCTGGGTCTGCCACTTTTCACTATCCCAATCTTTCTTCATAGGAAAACTGCTTCTGAAAAGCTATCCAATATTTCAGATTTACAATCATTTCTCTAACATTTATTTTGGATCTTCCTTGCTTAAATGGTCCACCAAAGTGTCAATATCTGGCGATCTTTGTCTGATTTCATAAAAATACTAAAGTGGGTCAAAACTAGTTTGCAGTTGAGTGAGAACCAGGTTTCTAAGCTATATTCAAGAACCAAAGAACCAAGCTAGAGTTAATGAAAACTTTACTATCTCTCAAACAAAGCTCATCAATTTGGATGCATGCATGTTTTTGTACTGAAAGGCATAATTGTAATGTAATGATTGTTCAAAGTATCGATCAATCAACAAATGGTTGTAATGTCAAAGCTCTGAGAAAGGGATGGGCAATAAGACATATTTTCAGTATTGCTGCAGTTCCCATTATCTTTCATAGTTTTAGCAATGCTGATTAGCTCTAATGGAAGCTGGAGTTTAATGGTATTGCAAAATTACACACTGTCAAAAGCTTTCTACATAACATTTAACTATAGGGGGGATAAGCTAAAATATATTGCATTCTGGCTTGCTAAATCTCCTTTTAATAATTTATTCTTCTAACCCATTCCCCTCTTTTCAGCTAGAATATTCTTTGATTCTATGGAAGGCATACCTTTATTCTTATAGTTCCTCTTTCTTGCAAATTATAACCACCAATTCTTTGAAGAGCATTTGCTGTGGTATTAGAAACATGGATTTGCAGAGCTAAGAAATGGAGAAGGAAATATCTATTATGTATTTTTATTAAAGTTTATAAATACAAAAAAGAAAAACAATACATAGAAAAAGAAAAAACAATAAAGAAAAAAATGTATATAAAGAAATTATTCCCTCTCCTTTAAGACAAATACAAACTTCAGTAATTTATCCCTATCTTCAGTCTGCCATAGCTTCCCTGGAAGCGCACTGATGAAAAGTGTTTGAAAGTATTCTACTTTAAACAGTTTTGTCTAATAACATTTCCCCCTATCTATTAACTCTTAATTACAAATTAGGGTCAAGCTGATTGCAATTCAGGTGATCTTCATATTTAAGAATTAATCTGAAATCTTTCCCTTTTTTTCTAATAATGAGCAACCAGATGTTTTCTCCACCTGTCATAGCTATCACTCTGCTGCTTGCCTCGATTGCATCTTTTGCCAGCTTGACATAAGCAACGGCAGGAGGGGTAGACATTGGAATGTGGATATTTGGGGGGGTGGGGGGTGGGTTGAAGCAAAGTCAGCCCTGATTCTGAGGAACAAGCACAAGGTCAGCAAAAGGAATATGGAGATGGGAAAGGCGCAAATTCAGGGTCCATTTCCAAAAGAACCTGAGAACGTTTAATTGGACTGATGGGGGGCAGACTCTGCCTGCTCTAATCTGTAATCGCTTTGTTCTCTTGGGAAAAAAATGAAGCAGGAATCTTTCTTTTCAAATTAAATAAATGGGATGGATGACACTACCTGAGCATAAAAATAATATTCTTTCTCTGCAACTTCTCAGCAGTATAAGAATCCTACAATTAGCTATTATTGCCATTCATTTATACACCTGTAGACCATTTTGCACTGTCTAACAACAGGATGCAATAATAAAATGGTATATATATGGTTTACATCAGCCTTTTATTTTGTCTCTAAGAAATGATAACATACGTAAGCTGGTGCTTTCCATCCGTGAAGCTGTGTTCACAGAGTCTCCAAAAAGACAATAGCGTGGCCTTGTAATGCCTACTACTCCTGCAACAACAGGGCCTGGAACAACAAATATTAAAAATTACTTTAAGCCAGACATAAAAGGCATAGGAGATTCTATCATGCTTTATGTCTTACTGAAATGTAGAAATAAAATTTGGATTTTAGGGCATCTGATATGAATATTGGAATAAGTAGTTTTTACATATATTTTATTTTACCGACTATAGTGGCTTTCCTATTCTGCAGAATGCTCTTATTTCTAAAGTATTTATTGAAGAAATATTTTTTTCTAAATATAAGAGCCAAAGTTGTATATGCTTAAGAACGTGGATCGGGTTAACCATCTTTCCATTATGGTCAGCTACTACATAGCTAGTAGGAGGGGCTAAAATATGAGTGAATTGAAATCCAATTAAAAATCCATTTAATCTAATATCTTGTTTTCCCAGGAGAGGATAACATTTATTTTGTTCAGAAGCTAACTCTTTTCTGAAAAAAATATATGAATGGTTCAGGCAAGTATAATGCAAAGAATGTCCTGATGCATTCTCTATATAATACTAGTAAAGTTGTTTTGGTAACATAGCACATGGATGAAATACTGCATATAAATAATTATAAATAATTATATCCTTAATACTACAGCATCAGATAGACATAATCACAACATTATGGTTATGTATCATGGAGATTTTTCCTATGAGATTTGTATACAGATTTGAACATGTAGAGATCCATTTGTCAAGGTTCCGAGCCTTGGAATGGTGTTCCGAGCCGAACACCATTCTTCCTCTGAATATATAGAGTAGGGATGTCAAACTCACAGTCCTTGGGCCAGATGCATCATGCGCTGGCCATGCCCACTCCCCCCCCGGTTTAGCAAAGGGGGAGAAGTTGAGATACGTCACATGATGACAATGTGACGTCGTGAGTTTGACACCCCTGATATAGAAGATACCAGCAGATATCTGGAAGTAGGATGGCAAGAACTACCATCCCTCACTACCATCCCTCAGCCAGTGACTGGCTGACACATCATACAAAGAGATATTATAGCTTGTTTGATTTTTGGTTTGTTATGTGAATACAATAATTGCAGTTAATAAAGCATGGATTATAGCCAATTTCAGTTCATTATAAAGTAGTTAAACTGTTACTTAATATGATATATATGATTTCCATACTAAAATAGAATAGAACAGAATATAATAGAATCAGAAACAAGTGACCAGATTAATTCTCAAGCATCAAATACAATGTTCTAACTCATTTAGAAGTTAGAACATTAGAGGTTAGAATAAGCTGGCAGGAATAGCCAACACTCCGGAAGATAGACTCAAGATACAGAAGGATCTTGACAGACTTGAACATTGGGAGCTATCTAACAAAATGAAATTCAACAGTGAAAAAAGTAAGGTTCTACATTTAGGCAAGAAAAACAAAATGCACAGGTACCGTATATGTGGTACCTTGCTCAATAGTAGTAACTGTGAGAGGGATCTTGGAGTCCTAGTGGACAACCATTTAGATATGAGCCAGCAGTGTGCAGCAGCTGCCAAAAAAGCCAACATAGTTCTGGGCTGCATAAACAGAGGGATAGAATCAAGATCACGTGAAGTGTTAATACCACTTTATAATGCCTTGGAAAGGCCACACTTGGAATATTGCATTCAGTTTTGGTCGCCATGATGTAAAAAATATGTTGAGAC